GATCCTTCCTGAAGTACGGCACGGTACTTCTCGTATTGCGCTCCGTGTGGTATAGATTCGGTATCTGGTACTTCTTCGCCCTTGTGTAACCGTTACTAGGTAAGTAGGTAGTTATTCTTTGAAATTGTAAGTGTAAGTAAGCCTCACCAACTTTTTCAAGTAAAAAGAATAATACCATGTACAGTGTAATGAATGCCTTACCAACGCTTAAGAAAGCTCACAGAGAATAATGTCAAGATACTGAGGTGAAAATACCCTATTTAGGATAAACATTTTTAATTTCTCTTTCATCTATCCATCCATCTATCTCCCACCTATTCCTCAAATCCTTCCGTATAAACCACACAACCCATAAAAAAGAAAAAATCCCCCCCTCAAAAAGACCCCAAACATGCGGCTCATTTCGCAATCGTACAAATCGAGAACCATAATCCAGAGAAAAATAAATAAAACCCTGTCGCCACGCGTACTCCAGGCACTCAACTAAGCACAAAAAACACATGTAAGAGATCGCGATGCAGACTTGGCCTCGTGGTTCTGTTTTTAGATCTGTATGTGAATGTGAATGTGAATGTGAATGTGAATGTGAATGTGGAATGGGATTGCAATTTGAGGGTCTTGGTAATCTCCTTGTTTGGGAACGGCGTGAGTTATGTGAGGATGTCAGATTTTGCGTGGGATAGGTTAAGGGGAACACGTTTTTTTCCATGGGGGTTTCGTGATGCAGATGCAGATGCAATGCAGATGGGATGGGATATTGTCCTCCGTAGGGCTGTGCTTTTCATGTTTGGGAGGAATCCGGAATGATTGATGAGATGATTTTATGTTCATGGGTTCGGATATACAGGATGGACGGATGATGTGGGGGCTAAGGTTAATAGGCAAAGGGAATTGTTGCGGTGAAAGAAAATCTGCTGTTGGTTTAGTTCTTACTTTGACGACGGATGATTGGATACATCGCCGACTTGGGGGATATGGTGATTAGGGAATAGGATATTGGGAGAGTAATGGTAATGGGAGTTAAGAGTCACACCGGATGAAAATGTTCGGGTAATGTAACCTCAGGATTATGTTAACGTGATGGCGCATCATATCATATCATACTCGTGGAGATCCAGATTGAGAAATACATGTTTGGATAGTCTGACTGGGGAAGAATTATGATGGGAAGACCAGGTATTTAATTTAAAGATAATTTGAGTATTTGGAATAATAGGATTGCCATTTGGAATGGAAGGAAATGGAAATATCAGAATTTGGGATTTCTAAGCCTTCTTCCTAAGTATAGAACTGGCCATGATCAACGGTAAGCAAACCCATTCCATTTGTTTCCATACTAAACATCTATGATCTCTATGGAGCTAGAGCTTATAGGAGATTGGAAGGAAATCAGTAGAATGATTATGAATGCTTTGCCAAAGCATTTTTTAACACTGGAGTTTCAATAACCTTTGACCAGTCATGTAAAATTCTTGTATTAATGAAGCTAAGATGAATTCTTCACCAGATCAATTATTCATGTTCTCTTCATATTTGGAAATGGCAGGACTTGATGAGTTATCCGTCCTGAGTAATTCAAAAGATTACCAGCATCAGTCGTAGAACGGCGAGCCCTTGACCTCGTTCTTGGAAGAAGTTAGTATACATCTTCAAACGGATGATCAAAACTCACAAGTCATTGGATGAGTAGAATGACCAGCCAAAGTCACTCTTCTATTTCTATTATCCCATTGATGACTTTCTTCCCTTAGGTCCCGCAAACCAAGACCAAAATACCAACTGCTTGATCTTAGAGTATTAATTCAAAGGCAATTTTTCAAGGTTCTGTAAAACTCTTTCCCATTTCCTTAACTCGTTTTAGTCTTGCTGCATCATCAAATACTTCTCCTTCTTCATCTTCCGTTCTAGTACTTGAATTTCATGAAATATAGAAGAAAAATGTCCAACTTCCTGGCACTTCCGGATCCGGCGCATCTTGTAAACCAAAGAATGCAAAGAGGTTACCGGGTTGTGGTGAATCCAGGAATAGAGGATGAAAGAGCGTAGAAAAAGAGCCCGTTCTCGGGTGTATATTATTTGTACAAATGCGGCAGCATATGGAAGTCGTGTATTCAATGGTTTTTCAGGTTCAAGGAGTAGTCTCCCAACAGTGACCTTGCACCATCTGCGCCTATCACCAATCTTCCTGTTAAATTTTGACCATCCTCGAAGACACATATGAAATTTCTCCATCATGTTCATGTATAATATTTCACCGTCATTTGTTCCATCTGATATCGAGATCTTGGGCCAGGAGCGCGCGAAGTTTGGATCGTCAGAGTCAGGGAAAATATAGAATCTCTAGAGCAAACACGAGTTCCCTATTGAGCCATTGACAAAGTACAAAGTATCGAGGGGTTTCGTAGGTCTGTGTGGATCAACTTAACAAAATTATACTTTGGTAAGAGTAGATTTGTATTAGCGATTTCAAGGTTGTATTCCTCGATGGATTCCGGTGTTTAAATCTCGTTCTCGAGGAATTGAGGTATTGACATTTTTCCAAACAAAATCGTCCGTATTCCTGCCTAAAGCTGTAGTGACCATTTGCGCATCATTGAATTGTAGTTTTACCAACTTTATTGAGGCCCTGAGACATCATAAATAGTGAGTTAGTACTCGATACTCAGTGACCATTTTCAGGGTCAAGTATGTACCTGCTCAAATTATAATTACTGGATTGGATGAATTTAGTAGAAAATCTTTAATATTTCCTCTATAACTTTATCTAAATGTTGATTGATAGATACAGCAGTGAGATATAGGGAGTTTTGAACTTTTAATAGCCAGTTAAGGCTCGGCGATAGAATTGTCGTGATGATTGTGAAGAAAACCGCTACCAGGAACTATCTCACCTGCGAACATTATCAACCTACCTACCTCGGAACCTCATAAAGCAGCAGTACAGGTCTTGCATGGATCGGATATGAATCTGAAATATGATTAGATTTAATCAAGCAAAGCGATATGTCTCGCGTTCCCTGGTTAATATCCTCAAAGACAGGATGAACAGTTCGTTTTGGTATCGGTGGAAGTTCCTATTTGTACCAGGAAGCATTCTAACATCCTCTCTCAAGTATCATTGTGGATAAAACCCCATCTTCATTATTATCATTCGAGTCTCTGGAATGGTTGTCCAATATCTGTGCAGTCAGAACGGACAAAAAGAAGCAATCATTTAGGGAGCGTCTGAAACTGATCTGGAAAGACCGGGGAAATACAGATAGTGCCTGGCTTATCGCATGCAGAGTTTGCTAAAAGATTTGCGGATAGAACCATCCCAAATATATCGACGCAGCTGAGTAGTACATGCTGCATTGGTTTCACTGCGCGACCTTTGGTCTCTTTTCCTACAAAGAAACATCCTTGAAATTAAAATGTCTTCAATGTCTTCAAGGTAAGAATAGTCCCTCGCTATACTTGCCGAGAGGACCACCTGCCCATGCTAGAACGCTATCAGTAGCTGAAACATCATTTCCTTGGACTTCTCTGTGACCTCTGAAACAACTTCGGCGTACGATCCGGCGTTGGAAATATTGCCTTCGGAGTCGCACCAGGATGAATCAAATACGGATAGCACGCCGACTACTCAAAGTATCGAAGACGATGATAGACGAAGAAGAAGTCCTTCACGATTATCATTCCGCGTTTGGCGGATCTTTGATAGGTTGTGATACTGAAACTTTGGCTACTTACAGTACAGACTACCGCTGAGAATATGGAGAGTCCTAGATATGCATACATAGTCAAGTCCTGACCATAGGACGCATGGTAATGATAGAGATAAGAGATGTTAATTTTTGAAGGAATTGGGTCGATGAGATCAGTATAGAGTTTATGAGCGGATAGAAGGATACATGATTAGATTATTGGCCTGTGTTAATGGAGTATATCTACCTTTGCCGCAGCTGGGTTTTGAAATGTTCTTTTACTGATATGATATAATAAAATTTATGGAGCTAGCCATTTGTCCCTTGATGAAATGAGGAAAGCACTAAAGACAAGAATATCCATACATATCTTGATGTGTGAGCTTTCTTTTTCTCAAGATTCTAAACCTGACGATAGTAGTACAGGTGTGTATGGTCTAGACCAGGAGCTGAATCGCTGCCGCCCAATGCCATCGCATCTATGCCACAGCCAAAAGCTGTCTGAATAAGACACATGCAGTATAGTGCTGAGACTTTCCACATATGTCGAGAATATCCTAAACCTAACGGAGTTTATATTCAATGGAACTTGCAGTTTATAGATGGCAAGCATGTCTCTTTTTTTGCGCATGTCACTTGATAACGGGACATACCCTAGGCGTTGCGAAGATTGGACTTCTTTTCCGTATCTAAAGTCTATAGGTATGCATATGAGACTCATGAGCTCGGTGCCATGGAATATGAAGCAGCGACATTTTTCAACCAACTTGGTCCAAAAACACAAAAGCAATTGGATGAACCTTTCATATACATCATAATATATTTCTCAATATTCATCCAAAGTTCGTAAGTTTTACGACTCATCAATGTGACTATGCAAAGACCAACCAGAGAGTGCTCACGGCGACGAACATGTGATAGTTGGGAAATCAACGATTGGTGGCTTTTAATCCCTCTATTCTACGACCTAACGCGGATCGTATCAGTCCCAATTTAATTGGAAAGGGAAACAAACATACAGGCCGCACAGACTTTTTCGGAAAAGCGCAACGAAATAGGAAATTTGCGAAGAGAATAAGATGTGCAACAAAACCTTTGAGAAGAGATGGATTGGTGAGGGTAGAGAGTTGGGATTGCGATAATAAGTGGGCGTATAGTTTGAATGTTTGGCTTTAAGCTGTGCGGGAAGTCTGTCTTTTTTTTTGGTTAATGAGGGCGACGTCGTGGGTAACATAGATTGTGCGTATACTTTGCGAGTGAGGTCACGATCATAAGCTGTAATTTCGACGTTGTGATTTTCTGGTTAAAGGTCACGTGGGGGTGTTTTTATCACTGCTCGGAGTCGGCACGTGGGAGCATCACAGGCACTAACCAATTCAATGGCTCAGTTGTGAATATGCCCACACTTCCGTCTCAAACAACCAGAACTCTTTGAGAAAACAACACTGCCTCGTGTTTCACTCTTCCTCATTCGGGGTACAATGAGGCTGAAAGGCGGCGATGAGTTCCTTCACGTCGATGTCTTCAGCACGCCACCCCTTAGGAAGAAGCAAAAGCAAAAGGCAAAGGAGGAACCTGTGGTTAGAAAGCTTAAAAAATACCGCATCACGAAAATGACCTGCACTAAACTCATTCAATGCTCTCATCGATGTTTCCTAACAATGTGAGTTCGTGGAAAGACTTGTCATGAAACACAAAAGAATGTCAAGCTTCAAAGGATCTACATGATTCTTCGGGTTTGATGTAGTATTTCGAGCTAGGGGAAATCTCGCGGGAAAAGCAAAGTCACTGATATAAATCTTCATTCGCTTCACGGTCCATTGGCTGCATTATCGGCATGTACGGCTTCTTAGGACGGGGGATCTGCCTCCAGAAATGCCAATGTTCCTAAAAAGCAATACATGTTCTTGGCTATGTACACAGCACGAAGTACCCGAGATCTTCTAGTGTCCGCCATGTAACAACCACCGCCGCATACACGGAAATCAAACACCTTGAAAAAAAAAAGTCACAAGTTATTCTAAGCTCAGAAATTATTGGATATCGAAAGAAGCGATGAACGTTACCATCAGATTCGGCAGCAAGAATCAAATGATATAACCAGAAGTTTGGTCCTGGAAAGCCGGCCGGCAGGTTTCCTGTTTCATATAGTCGCCGCAGGACAGAAATTTATGGTACTGCCAACCACCACCGTGGAACTATTCTTGAACTCTGGGCAAGGTCGAGCCCACCAGGAAGCTACGGTTTCTCCTGCTGCTTATTCGAGCCATTATTGGATTTTCTGCATGATTCTCAAAATTTTGAAGAACAGAAAAGACACAATGTACAATGAAACGATCTTGTGGCATATTAGCCACCATCTTCGCACAAAGTTTCATCCGAGTATTTATGGTATAAATGGTTTCTCCGCAGGAACATGTGATAGGATAATGAATTGTTATTAATGCGCCAGTGTACCACAAATTCCTGCAGCGGAAGTTGTCCTGGATCTTTCAGGTGGAGGTACAATAAATCTGTTCCCTGTGTTTAGCTTGTGCTACTGGTAGTGTTGCAGATAATGCATGCATTTGTCAAAAATGCATGAATAGGCGAATTACAGCAGCCTTTGGGACATTTTGACATGTTGAGATGTTAATGGGCTCGGAATCTTCCAAGAGATGTCTCTCGAGATAGCTCAGAGGTGTTGTGCTCAGCCATTGTTACCCAAGGGTGGTATTCTGCTGATCGAATTAACTACCCAAAAGAATTCGTGGTGAGGATACTCAATCATAGCAGATGAGCCTTACTTGAAGCTTAGAGGGATCATACGGATAGGCAATGCCCCATCTCGCCGCAATCTTTTTTTTAGGTTTTACTTTCTCTTACTCTTCTCACAGGACTGGCAATGACAAACACGACACAATCATTCTATCTTTGACTGTTACTTCCCTCTAATAGTTTTTATACTAAGCTGTCCAATTTGTCCTTTCTGATTGCAAGCAATAATGCCGTCTTTCGCTGATCAACCAGAGGAAGTCAAGACTCGAGAGAGGAAAAGAGTGAGAAATCTTCTGAGGTAAGTAATTCAAGAATCCATTGATTGGGACGAATTAACCGTTACTTCTGTAGATATTATACACCAGAGAAATGGAAACTTACACGAGAGAGTGAAGACGACGATTTTGAAAGAAATGGGCGCGGGCTGCCAGAAACAACATGTGAAGCAGAAGAACAACCACATATAGAAGAGAATCCCAAAAAAGCCGAGAAAGGGGGACCTGATCCTTCGAAACGACTTCGTCATGATCCTACATTGACAGCATTTGCCCAGCTCGGCGCATACCGCTTGAATACTGAAAGGTCTTTCATATCTTTGATGGATTCCCACAACCAATACATCATTGCAGAAGCAACAAGGAGCGTTTCACTACACACTAGAGACTTCACAAAGCCTGGGGACGAAATATTTCTCGGGGCTCGCATCCTGGATATGCACTGGGGGATATGCCCAAATACTATTCAAATTTTCACAGCGAAAGACGACACAGGAAATTTGAAAACTAACCTTGTTACCGCAAATCAGACTCGTTATGTAATGAACGATCTTGCAGCCATCGAAAAGTACAAAACGCGCCCCTATATCGCGGAATGGCCATATATGAGATATTATGCCGAGGTTCCTATCTACAGTGAGTTTCCTACTTTTCATTGATTGAACACAATTATTTTCCTCCATTGTATTGGGGATTTTAAAATGAGCTTCTGTAATCCCACTTTCAATGTCAGTTTCTGAACATTCCAAGATCAATTTCTCGTGCCATACTTCTTAATTTAAGGCACAAATTGTATTTTGTTCTCTAGACACTTTATCAGGTCAACATCTTTTATATGTTTGGAATTGGAGGATGTCCCTTTATCTTAAAATTCATTCTGAATTTATCACTATTAGGTCCGGAAAACATCGTGATTGGAACGTATTGCGTGGTCGACAATAAACCACGATATGAAGGGTTGGATGATGATGGACTTGAGATACTAAATGAAATCGCTAGAGCAATTATGAGACATCTTGTACTTATCGAGAAACAAGACCATTTAGAACGGGGCGAGAAGATGGTAAAAGGCTTGGGACTTTTTGTGGCCGGCAAGTCTAACCTGGGCGAAGGATTGGAAAATTATTCTCCGGACGAAAGGAATCCTCAAAATGAGTCCAATTCTCGCGCAGTAGATACGACCGGAGCAGCCTCCATCTCCCGGAAACAAACGGATATATGCCAAACAGAGATAAATTCTGTTAGCACACCAAATCAAAGCAAAGGATCATCTTGTCTTTCCGGGTTCGAAAAACCTATAATTATGGAGAAAAATAGGCCGAGCATAAGTAGAAGTTCTTCAGCAGAATCTGCTCGACAAGCATCTTTCGCTAGCACAAGGCTCAAACAGTTGTTCTCCCGGGCAAGTCAACTCATACTTGAGGCAATGAATCTTGATGGAGTTGTCTTTGTTGATGCATGTTTCAGGGATTCGGCAAGTAAAATTGCATCCAAAAATAGGTTTCTTCCTGGTGTTGGTCTCAACGGTCCTCAAGACTGGGCTCAGAATGGAAATGGAATCAAAGCACCACTTCTCCCTATCGATATGAAATTTGAAGGAAAACGAACCGTCAAGCCTCTAACAAGTGATTTGCTAGGATGCAAAGTTAGACGCCATCAGAATTCCTCTCAACTAGATGACCTTACAGACATTACACTCTTACAGGCGACTGTGAAAGGGCTGATGACATGCTATACTCAGGGTCGGATGTTCGTTTGCCATGAAGACGGTTCTTTGGATCTTGATTTGGAACCTGAGCCACTCGAAGTTTGCGAAAATGGAAATATGGAGCCCGATAGAACAGTTGTCGTAGCGTGGGTTGCTGAGCTGATGAAAATATGTCCGGGAGCACGGACTATCGTTTTCTTCCCTCTGAGAGATCCACAACGAGAGTAAGTATTCGGAATATGCCACCAAATCTTGGTGGTGCTCATATTGTCATGATGTTGAGAGGCATGAAGTTCTGCATATGAGTCTCATCAAAATCTAAGCAGGCCCCCTCCATCTTTCTCAGTAATTATCCTCAACTACAAAATCCGTGGCTAATCATACAAATAGTCAATGGTTTGCTGGAAGCCTTGCTTGGACAACGAAAAAGCTTAGAATCGTGACACCAGAAGATCTCACGTATCTTACAGCTTTCGGGAACTGTATCATGGCTGAAAAGTCTCGTCTGGATTCCGAGCTAGCAGATCGTGCCAAATCTGATTTTATCTCTGTAGTATCTCACGAATTGCGCTCTCCACTCCACGGGGTCTTGGCCAGTGCAGAAGCCCTTCGGGATACATCGACTGGAGATGAGCAGGATGACATGATTCGTTCTATAACGATATGTGGCGAGGTTTTGCTAGATACTATGGATCACATGTAAGAAGATGTTCAATACATGAAGTAAAATATTTCTGACTCAAATATAGCCTGGATTATGCGAAAATTGCAAACAAAGGGGAGACCAAGGACATGAAAGATCTTCCTGTGCAATCCAGCGGCCCAAATACGAATTTTGACCTTAGCAACCTCATTGAGACTGTCGTTGAGGGGGTTTCCGCGGCACAAAGCTTTCGACAATTAACCTTCGAGGCTCCGCTATGTATCGATACCGATGGCCTAGATATGAATGTCGATGAGAATGGTCTGTCAGATAGTGTTGTGATCGTTTTGGAAATCGATTGGCAAGCCTCATGGGCATTCAATTCTCAAATAAGTAGTTGGAGAAGAATCTTCATTAACCTTTTCCAGAATGCATTAAAATACACTGAATTTGGGTACGTTCATGTTCGTTTGACAGCACACCAATCTATTGATGGCCCAGTGGCAAAGCTATCTATCATAGATTCCGGGAAAGGAATATCAAATGATTATTTGAAATACGAACTGTGGACCCCTTTTGTACAAGAAGATCCTATGAGTATTGGTACAGGACTAGGTCTCAGCATTGTTGGTAAATTAGTCCAGGAACTCGACGGGACAATTGATATATTAAGCACGGTTGGTACGGGTACAGCCGTTCAAGTGGAAATTCCTGTTAAGCATTCAATACCATCTGATGAAGAGGAAGAGACAGAAAGTAAAAAATTGATCTTTGAGACAAAAGAACGCTGTCGCGGCCTTTCGATGTGTCTTCTGGGGCTTGATAACTATCCCGACCCTTGCGAGATTCCCACGGATGCTCCATCTGCAAAGGAAAGGAGGATGACTGCGATCAAATCTGCATTGATAAACTATGCTGGGAATTGGTTTGGAATGGTTATACGGAAAGCTTGCTCTGGCTTTTGTACTGATGGTGTCATTTTTGTTTGCTTGAAATCACAACTTCAATTCGCGGACCGCACCAGACACAAGCCTTTGATTGTGTTCGAAGATAATATGGGAGCATCAAATAAAGAAGACGGCGTTTTCTATTTGACACAACCGTAAGTGGAATAGCAGCCCTGGCAAGATGATTTCCATTTAGAAGTCTAGTAAACAGACATGGATCACCTCTACCATGCCATGAATTTTACTTGAAGAATAATAGTTCTAATACCTTCATAGTGCCGGCCCTTTCAAACTAGCAAGAATATTAGGGCAATGCATCGACTATCTGCACTCTGCAGGCTTCATACCAAACATCATTGAGCGATCTAGCATGTCCTCCAGAGTACCATCCAGCATAGGCTCACCTCCCATGCTCACGCCACCTGCCAATGGGTATCCGGATTCTAAGAATGTTGAAGCCTGCAGGAATAATGTTGATGAGGGAAGGCCGAGCTTAGATTCACGTCAGAACTCAAGCGAATCTACCGAGTCGGTGAGGCCCAAATTCGATGCACGTAAACATTCAAGTGAATCTACCGACTCGGCGGTGGACATGAGAACAAGTGAGGAGCCTATCGTAGCTTATCATACGTTTCCTTTTTCTGCGACATCGCCACTACGATCGAGGAATGAAAGAGAGATGCATATGCTGAATAATCCAGAAGTTAAATCGAATGAGGAGCCCATGGTACTCGACAAGACTGTTTCTTCTAAAGGAGTTGCGGTTTCAAATAGGGTTAGGGATTTAGAGAAGTCATTTTCTGTTCTTCAGGTGCCCGTAGGATCTGACGAGAGTGTTCTACTCAAAGCCTCCCCAGTTTTACAGAAGCTCGCCCTGGTTGAGAAGACCACTGTTCTTGAAACATCTTCGATTGTTGAGAAGCCTACAGTCATTGAGAAAGCTCCAATCACCCAAAATGCTACAATCTGCGAAAAGCCTATCGTGCCCGAGAAACCTGCAGTCCTGCAAATCGTTAAATCAGAACCTTCAATCACACCCACTATAGAGAAGTCTGCACGCACAGTTGTTCTTCTTGTCGAGGACAACGCGATCAATTTGAAAGTAAGTCTGATCCTACTGGGTATGCGGAAACATTCTAATGCTCTACCAGGTGCTTGTCCATAGCATGAAGAAATTGAAGGAGGAATATGATACCGCATCAAACGGTCTACAAGCATTTGAGAAATATAAAAAAGCACCAGGGACTTTTAAAATCATATTCATGGGTGAGTCTTTCCCCCATCCCCCCATTTCTCTCCTCTGATAATATACTTCATCCACCACAGACTCTACTCCCTCATAACACACATGACTAACTCCGAATCCTAACATATAGACATATCTATGCCAATAATGGATGGCCTAACCTCCACACGCCACATCCGTGAATACGAAAGCACACATGGATTAAGTAGAGTGAGAATCGTAGCATTAACATGTTTTGGAACGGAAGAACATCGGAGGGATGCGGCGATGAGTGGAGTGGATTTATTCTTGACCAAACCGATTCATTTGAAATCTTTGAAGCCGGTTGTGGATTTGGATCCGGAGGGTGTGAGGGGTGGGGTGATGGAGGAGAGTATTTAAAATGGGGAGCGGCTGTGGGACAGGGGTAATGATTAGCGATTGAATAGGAAAGGTAGGGGGATGTGGAATGAGGGGCTGAGGAGGAATGGGATGAATATGGTTCTATAGAAGATGTGCGGGATTTTTATAATTTTTGTTTTTAATCTTACTCAGGTAATAACTAGGTCCAATTGATTCTTTGCCTCCAAATGTATGCTATACGAAAGGTTGATTCAACGTTCTAACTTTGTATTGAAATCTTGATGTGACGAGACATGGCGAGCATAGGGTAATAGTTTTAAAAGGTGTACCTGAATATACAAGTTCCTGTCGACCATTCCCGGATGTCATTGCTGGCTGGTTTTATTGGTACACCTAGGGTAATTAGCAGCAAGAATTTAATACCTACTAGATAGTTTTATTGCAATTCCACCCCGTAGGCGGAACCGGGATGTCAAGAGCTCACCGGGAGTTCCGGGCGCGAACACTACTTCTTTCACAACCGTATTAATAAAGCTTTCCGAGATTAATCTTTATCTTTTATTATGCTATCGTGTACCGTACAAAAACAGATATATCGTGTGTATCAGATCAAAAAGAGTTAGAACGTTGATTTTCATGTGAATGTTGCCTAAATCACGAGTTGGTTTCATGGTGAAAGTCGCCTGCCGGCAACAGGAACGTTAGGTTAACCTTAACCATGAATCAGAAAGAGATAAACGCGTCATGCCACCGTATCAAAGCCACCACCAGGACAATACAAAGTCAAGTAATTATGCTTTAAATACAATCACCACCAATTTGATATTTTATGATAGTCGAGATCATCCAAAACATATCTGTGGTCCAGACTGCAGCGATATTTCTAAAATCCCATTATCGTGGCAATGACGTCGTCTTCTGGTCCCGCAAGACCGATATCACCATCGAATAGCTTCTATGCTTTGAGCGACGACGAGGAAGGTGAATATAATACCGTCACACATGTAGAATCTGGTAGAGGAGTCAAGTTATTGTTCTCCAAGAGCAAGGTAACTATTCCCAACAACTTAAAGTTTTGACCAAGTGCGGGGTCGTTCAAGCTTGTTGCTGACGACCACAAATATAGGTTTATATCCATCCTACACCATCTGCGAAAGATAATATACCAGGTTACATAGCTTTATTACAACAAAAGCCACCTCTAGATTCTCGTCCTACTTCGTCTTCTTCTAAAGATGCAAAGTCGAGAACCGCCGCTTCTTTACTTCTTGCATGGCTTCCCGAATCATCTCTCGGGGATGCCCTGAATACATATGTGAAAGTAGATCTTTCAGAAGGCGATTCTCCACCAAGACAATCATATCTCGTACCCCCTCCTCCAACCACCACTACCCATTCTGGCTCCATCGGACATTATGCCTTTGCGATACCCGTCTCGCAGATTTACAGTCTTCTCGTACGACCACCGAGTTTAGGATGGTGGTTCGGAAGTGTCGTTATAAATTCTCGAGCGGGAGATTCTTTTCCCGCGCTATTTTTTCACGACTCGGAATGTCAGTCTACCATTTTACAAAAGAAGAAGAGGACGAGGGAATCTTTTGATCCATTTGGGGCAAATGGGGAGATGTTCTGGGGTGGCGATGAAGTATTGAGGTGGCTGAGACGATATGTAGAAATTGAGAGAAGTGGTGCGGAACCGAATATTTACTTGGTGGAACCGTCGGCTGAAGATAAAGAAGCGTTTGGAGACAAACTAGTTACATCTGCGCCGGTGAGGAGACCGACGAGTAGTGGCGCTAGAGTTGGCGGCGCTGCTGGTGCAAGCTCGAGTACATATAGAAGTGCGCAGAGAGACGCGGGGATGGATCCGGTTACAAAGTTTGTCAAGGAAGCAGGGTGGAATCTGATGGAGAAGTTCAGCAAGGTTACGACATTTACGAGGAGGACGGCTGATTCGATTGTCGAAAACCCGAAAATACCTCCACAGGTTAGGAGATTCATGAAGAATCCGGAGGTTCAAACAATCCAAGAGGAGTTTGATAGTGCGAGGATATACTTGGCGCGATGGGCTATGGGTATTGCAGAACAGAGTGAGAGAGATAGAAATCAAAGGATATGGACGGCAAGGGATGTTTTAGAAATGGAGGAAACGGATGTCGGCGACTTTGAGTTATTGGAAACTGAGATGGGTTCTTTAACTATGAAGGAACAGAGGAAGACGCTAACATTGAGGGAATGGAACAAGTTTTTCGATCAGAGATCCGGCAGATTATCAGTCACAGTTGATGAGGTCAAAGAAAGGATATTTCACGGCGGACTTGATCCAGATGATGGGGTTAGAAAAGAGGCTTGGTTATTCTTACTTGGTGTTTATGAATGGGATTCTTCAGCGGACGAAAGAAAAGCCGTAATAGCAGCCTTGCGGGATGAATATGTCAAATTAAAGGGTGCGTGGTGGGATCGTTTAATCGATCTTGGAGGTGAAGGAGAAGAAGGGGAATGGTGGCGAGAACAGAAGAATCGAATAGGTAATAAATCCCAGTATTCTGTTATCTTCAAGACTCAACAGGCTGACATATCCCATTTCTTGGGGTTCGTGCGATAGAAAAAGACGTTCACAGGACGGATCGTAATATTCCAATATATGCGGGAGAAGATACACCACATCCAGATCCAAACTCACCATTTGCTGATGTGGGCACTAATGTCCATTTGGAACAAATGAAAGATATGCTTCTCACTTATAACGAATATAATCGCGATCTTGGATATGTACAAGGAATGTCAGATCTTCTCGCTCCGATATATGCCGTCATGCAAGACGATGCCATCGCTTTCTGGGGTTTCCAACACTTCATGGAACGCATGGAACGTAACTTTCTCCGAGATCAATCTGGCATGCGTTCTCAACTTCTTACACTTGATCACCTTGTCCAACTTATGGATCCTAAACTTTATCTTCATCTTCAAAGCGCAGATAGTACCAATTTCTTTTTCTTCTTCCGCATGTTACTCGTTTGGTATAAACGTGAGTTTGCATGGTTAGATGTTTTACATCTTTGGGAGGTATTATGGACGGATTATTTGAGCTCAGGGTTCCATCTATTTATTGCTTTGGCAATTTTAGAGAAACATAGGGATGTTATCATGACGCATTTGCAACATTTTGATGAAGTATTAAAATATGGTATGTTTTCTTCATATTTGCTATATGGATTTTGTGGATGGGTTTAACTAATGAATCATAGTCAATGAACTATCAAATCAAATAGATTTGGAATCTACGCTTGTTCGCGCCGAGGCATTATTTCGTCGTTTTCAAAGAACAGTCGAGGCCATTGATAGGAAGTCAAGTTTTCCAAAACCATCAATTAGACACCGTGGTACACAAAGCACATCTCAGGCTTCGGAGCCCTCTAATCCTTCCGGTGCAACTAGTGGTGCGGATACAGGAAGTGGACAAATTGAAGGTGCAAGAAAAGATAAGGGAAAGAAACCAACGGATGGAGAATTGGAGGATATGCCTGAAAAACCAAAGGTTATCAGTAAGGAATTGAGAGATTTATTAAGTAGGAAGGTGGTGGTGTTACCGAGAAAATTGGTTAGGAGGGAAGGGGAGGGTTTGGCGAAGGTACAGAAATAATTTTTATGGTTATGTTGTGGGGATTTGGTAATGAAAATAGGGAATTATGGAACTGTGGATAGGTGTTTGGGTTATCAGGAGAAGTATGTATATGGAATTATTTGGCATGGCTTGTATTTTCTTGGTAGGAGGATTAAGCATTGAGGATTGAAGGTACATTAGGCTGGGCGGTATGGCAATCTTACGTTATATTTTTTATTATAGTTGATTGATTGAATGAGCGAATGAATGAATGGAGAGGGTACTTCTCACTTCTCACTTTTCGTATTAGTTATTTTTCGATCTCCTGTTTCTTCTGTTATGATTAAAGCTTACATATATACATCTCATACAAAATTTGATATTTTTCTATATATCTTCAATTTCTGATTATGAATCTGTCATTTTGTGACTGGACTGATATAAGTATATCAGCCTATCAATTACTATATAATAAATAATAAGTAGAGATAAATAAATACCCTTCAACGCCCTCTGTTCATTTTTAATTTATTACTGATTGGTTATACATCGTTGTAAGTCTTCTTCTCCGCCCTCCGCCCACCTTGCCGAGCTTCGCTTGAGAGTTTTCTTTAGAGATAGAGTTGAGAGAGAGTGAGGGAGATTATAATTAGATGTGGTAGTGCATTGGTGGTGTTAAGAATGTTGACTAGTATTGATGTACTTCTCAATATCCTTCTCAATATCCTTCTCAATCTACCTCTTTCGTTCGTTCGTTCGTTCGTTCGTTCGCTCGTACGTTTACTTTATCCTATGTGTTGGGTTGAGTTGAGATTGAGATTGAGATTGAGATTGAGATTGAGATTGAGATTGAGATTGAGATTGAGATTGAGATTGAGATTGAGATGAAATAATAAGAGTACCGGTAAGGTTATAGTTATCGTTATTTCCGGCGTGTGGTAAGGTTATGATGGGCTGGATTAAGCAAATCCATACTCGTATCCTTTTGTTGAGATTCTGTGGGGGGGTTGGGTTGGGTTGTTAGTATCTTTTTTCGATTTTTCTTTTTTCGATTTGTGGCGGGGAGGGACTGGAGGGAGGAGAGGTTTGATAAGGGGTTGTGGGCGGGGTGTGGAATGATGGGTTATGAGGTTGAGAGTTAAAGAAAAGGAAAAGATAGATCACATACAGGAAATTAAATAGATAGCCTAGTGTACTTATTTTTTGCTCTTTCGCTTTCTCCTTTTTCTTCTCCGTTTCCTGTGCGCTATCGATGATATCTGGGGTTTTTGGTTCTTCTTTCTCTTGTTCTCGAGTCAGTTCTTGTTGAGGGGTAACTTCTTCGCTTGATATTGGCCGTGCGGAAGAGATGGAAAGTGAAGGGTGTAGTGGAGCTGGAGTTGGAGATGAGGGGGGAGACGGGGAAGAAGATCGTGAATGTGAATCAACGTCCGGTGGAATCATTACCCAATCGTTTAGATCCTCGTCGGGATGTTGGTGAGAACTTGGCGGGGGTTGAGAGGTTGGGTGAGAGCTGGGATGGGTGTTGGGTTTTGAGGAGGAGAGGTTCTGGATAAATGGGATGGGTTTGGGTATTGGTGGACGGTTTTGTGTTCGTGAGGGTGAGGAGGGAGGAGGAGGTGAAGGAGAAAGAGAAAGAGGGGGCTTGGAGGGTTGAGAGAGTCGACAGTGAGAAATTGGATGGAATAATTGAGGTTGAGAGACGGATGAATTTGAATTCGATGACGAGGAGGAATTTATGGATGGAGAATTTGATCGAGGAGCATCAAAATCCGATTGTAAAGAATCGAAAAAAAGAGCTTGAGTAAATGGTGGGATTTTCTCTCCATCACCGCCGTCATCATCATCATCTTTCCCCTCATTTTCCTCTACCTCATATCCTTCCCAATTTTCAAATCCCGAGATACATTCCGATTTCTTTACCCCAATCCCAATACTCCCAGCATCACACTCATCCAATTCCCGATTTTCATGCGAGGTCCTCGTACTCTGGGAAGTTGGATATCGATGGGTTTGACTCGATGATGCAAAGGGTGTGAGAGGTGGTGGACGAGTAGGTGGAGGTGGATAGGGGAGAAATACATCTGAGTCTGGTCGAGATGGGGGCTTGGGATTGGTGGTTGAGGAGGAAGGGGGAGGAGAGGAGGGGGAGGAGGGTGCAGGGATGAATATCCAGGTTTGGGGGCGTGGACGATTGATTATTAGGGTGGGGTCTGGAGTGGTGGTTGATGTTGATGTTGATATTGAGGTGGAGGTGGAGGTGGATGGGAGTTTGGTAGGCATTTTTGAGAAGCAGGGTGGGTTGTTTGAGGGGGAGAGGTTTGGAGGATTGGTGATTTGGTGATTTGGTGATTTGGTTGTTGCTGCGGTTGATGCTATTATGTGTATCTTCTTTGGAGTTATCTAGCTTGCTAGATAGAGTTTCGTATTTATTCTCAATTCTCAGTTCTCAGTTCTCAGTTCTCAGTTCTCGAGCTTCCAAATAAATTAGACTCCAAAAAATCCAAGACCATCCAAACCAAAGATCAACTCTCAAACTGGACCACAAAGCCCATTTCACATCTCCCTTCTTTCCTTCATTCCTCATATCATATACTTCTCCGCAGTAACATACGAAAACGTCTTTTATTGGTATATATGTCCTTCCTCTTTCCTCTATCCATATCGAGCTAATTTTCTTTGTCTATTCCTGATTTGTGGATTTGATTGGGATTGGGTTTCTTTGTTTGACTGTGGGAGTGGTTTGGTTTGGGATTTTGCGGGATTTAGGAAGATTTTTGGGGAGGAGGTTCTTTGTCTGGAGTTTTGCAGGGTGGGCTGGATGGGAATTGGAATTGGGAATTGAGATTTGAACTTGGAGTTGGGTTGATTTGATGGTTGCAGGTTGCAGCTGGTTAATAAGTGATATAATAATGATATGAAGGAGAAAGATTATAATAAGGATTACTTTTGGTGCTTGAAATTTGGAATTAGAAATAAAGTATAGAAATATAGGAAAATATCTCAATACACCTGGTCAGTATAAATACAGATTTATATCCAGAAATAAAAAAAAACAAATCTTAGATTAATGTAAGAAACTTTGGAAGTTTAGAGAATTAGTGTTTTGATGATAACCTCACACTTCTTGAGTCATGATATATGTCCTCAGAAAATCGTATGATATGATATCTTAGAGTCATCAGGATCAGGAAATACAAGGTATTCACTCTTGCGAACTTGTATCATGATTTTATTAGCATGTGAAATTTAGAATTTATTTTGGTTGCGGCGAATATAATAATAAGCTCAGGTTAGGTAACCTATTTACGGTGTATTTTGATACGATCTTACGAGCGGTGATGCATGCATGCGGATGTTGTAGAGTTGAAATAAGATGTCAATGATGACCTCGGGATGTTTCGTTTTGTAGCTTATGACGAGGTTACTGCATTTAGATAGAACCTGATACCTAGGTGTTTGATATTGGATATTGGAGTTTATCTTCTCTTTTTTTTTTGAGGGTTTTGTTTTTGTTTTTGTGTTTGTATTTCCTTTTTGGGGGAGGGGAATGATGGGGAGTTTGATTTTGATGACTTGGAATGTTGGAGATACGAACTCATTGGAATTCTAAATCTGAATATGGTATTCATGTATTAATGGCAAATCATTATGGAATGAATATTCATTACCTAGCTGTTAAAAATCGGCTGTCCCTTCTACAGAACATGTACTCATGTATAAATGAAAGATATACTTATCTACGCATGCAGCACTACCTATAACTACATTGGTCACTGGAGATGTATTCTTCAGTTTGCTTCTTACACTGAATACCTAGGTATTTAAGGTCATCAAGATTATTGCGAGTCACTCCTCATTGCACAAGAAGAATACATGAATGTATGTATATATGTAAAATGTTTAAAATTGAATTAAACATCTAAAACTCAGCCGATGTAAACTCAACGGACTAGAACACTTAGATGTTCATCTGTATCTATCATAACCAGTGAAACCAAATATCCTTCCCTAACTCAATCTCTGAGGTTTGGATATCAAGTCCGTAACTCAAAAACCCCAACTCCGAGATCTCAAAGTCCATGCTTTGTCCCTGTACCGAATAATACATATTCAATATCCCAACCAAAAGCATAGATCCATCCATACCCGTCATTATTTTGCCTTGTTAACACCAGATTCATCCACAGACTCGTAACCAATACCCCTAGATTTACAATCCAACATAGCACCCATCAAAAGCGCCTCAAGCACCTTCTTCATATTTCCCGTAGTGCTTGCTGGGGATTTGAACGGATTCTCCTCATCCTTGAATGACCGGGCTTTGTCAAGATCATCCTGCGTAGCCGATTCCCAGTTTTTCTCAGGCTTAATGCCTACGACTCGATGTAGCTCGTTATGAGCCGGTTGTTTTTCGTAATTGGGGTTTTCGAGGACATCTAATGCATCCAAAATTGCCTCAGGCAACGTGCCTAGAGCAGCTAGCGCGTCATAGACGATGACTTTGCAGTATTTCAAGATTTCTGCACCTTTAGGAAGTAATTCGGGATTTGATTCACGTTTTCTGTTGTCGAAATAATGGGTTCTTCGTGATAAGAACCATTGCTGATCTCTACCTGGCATGAAAGGAGCAGGTTTGCCTCCCACCATGTTACAAGATCCTTCATAAAACCTTGTGTTTTGGGGTCCCTCAATTCCCTTCAGAGCAATGCCCAAAGCTTGTCCAGTTTTGGACATATCTTCAAATATGGAGGGCCTCAGATATGAATCATAGGCTGCAGTTTTAGTATAGACGACTGAAGGAACTTTTTCTCGGTCTAGGAATGAGTGAAAAGCTTCCGCAGCTGGCCAATTAAAATCATTGTTGGCGGCTATCCTATCAGCTTTTAGGATGCTGCGCCTTTGAGGGCCAGGGCAATTTTCGAGATTGTAAGCGCCTTGAAGGACTACCTTGGCTGTAATTTGCTTGAGGGGATGTGGCTGTAATAAATCCTGTGGCTGTAGCTGTCTTTCAAACTCACAGATATCTTGTAGAGAAGATATAAGACAGAATGTAAGCTTAAAACCCTCGCTTTCAGCTTTAGCCTTAATGTCCATCAAGCATTTCAATCCTTCGGGTTGAATAGGATAAGGCTCCTTTCCCATGACATTGGGAGGAAACTCATAATACTGGGACTTTGCAGGGTCATCAGTGCCTTTGGTCCCTTCACCAACAGGTACATCCTGAAGTCCTAGAAGATCAAGAGCTCTCCGTCCGAGGTGTGCTCTTTTATCCGCCGGGAATAGGTTAGCTACAAAACCTTCTAGTTTAATAGCACCCAAACGATGAAGTTCCTTCAAAACTATCATGGCAGTAAGATCATCATAGTCCTTGCCAAGATCTGTGATGACAACAACATGTGGAATGACAAAGTTCTCTTTGCGTAGATCACCGACAGTATCTATAATTTTTTGATAGATAGCCCTGTCTGCTTCCTCAAGTCCATCTGGAATGAGCTTAGGAATCCTGAGCCTTGACATAATGTGTTTGTGAAAAAGAGTTCTAAATTTTGTTTTGATATGGTCAATATGGCGCAGGATATTGTAAGTGTTGTGGGTGTATGAAGTAGAAGGTTGCAGGTTCGAAGCCATTGGGGAATTCGAGAGACTAAACACGCCTCAAATACTTACAACGCCAGTCATTGTATACCTAATAAAAGTAACGGCTTTGCGACTCTAGTGCCTCCTATAATTATTCACAATAATCATGCAAGATTCGGACAGTGAATGCCGGGCGCTCTGTGATTTAGTGAACGAAGGTGCAAATAAATATGGCTGTTTATAGGCCGGATTTTTCGCTGAAAAAGGCTTTAGATGAGAGTTGTGGCGCCTATTTGGCTGATACGGCGCTTGCTCTCATTAGAATGTCCCATATTCCAACTCCAACTGTTGGTGTACTTATTAGTGCAAGGTTTTATGTCAAATATTATATCGGAAGACTTTACAATAACTAAGCACCAGTGGGTGCACGGACTCATGGTCCGGCCTGTACGTAAACCACAAAATCATATCAAAAATCAGCATTTTCAAAATTCAATTAAAATTCGACTTTCTGTAGAAAATGATTCAAATTTTAAACAGAAAATTAGAAGCATAAAATTATTTTATATTGCAAAAAAATAATATCACTATTTTTGGAATTGGAGATTTCATAAGCTAATTTATCTATCCTTAACAAATATTTTGATAAAAAAATAATAATATTATATTTTTCATTCCTAAAACCAATTTCTTTTTGAATCATTTTTCAATGTATTATATTTTGATGCTTGATCATTCTTATTTTGAAATTTCAATCAAAAACAGTATAAAATCAAATTTGGATTCAATTTTAAAATATCGATTTTTGGTGTGATTTGTGGTTTATTCGAAGGCCGGACGGTGAGTCCGTGCACCCACTGAATCTTTTTGGTAAGTCATCATGTCCGAGAATAGGCTTAGATAATCTCCAGCCTACTGAGATATGCCGGTCCTCATACACCACTGCAAACCGCAAAAGAGATCCAAAACAACCCATTCACCATGGATCTTTTATCTACTATACGCAAATCTGGTTCTCGTGGAGGTGTGAACTTTAGTTGGGAGGAAGTTCAAAGTTCTCAAGTAAGACCTGGAGCAATCACTCAGCAATTCAATTGACGTCATTTCATTAACATAGCATCTACACAGCACCGAGAAAATTATCTTGGCCACTCTCTTATGGCCCCAGTTGGTCGTTGGCAAAAAGGAAAAGATTTAAATTGGTACGCGAAAGGAGATGCCAGCACGACCGGCAGCGAAACCGCAGAGGAGAAACAGGCGCGGGAAAGGAAGGAAGAGATTCGAAAAATAAAAGAGGCCGAGGAAGATGCGATCGCAAGAGCTTTAGGATTACCGGTCGCGCAACGAGGTGAAGCTACAGGAGCGAATAATGTGGAAGTTGGGGAATTGAAAAGAGTTATTAAGGAATCTGAAGAGGGAAATGATGATGTTGAAGGGATGGGAAAGGGCACCGGATTCGGCGATTTTGTGGGCAATACAGATGGACAAGAGATGCTGCAGGTACAGTCGGAGCCTTTAGAGCAGAGGAGTGGACTATTGAGGAATGATCGTAATGATGAAAGATTGAGAGAAGCTGGAGGGAATAGGGTTGGGAGATCAAAAGATAAAGATAGGCGAAGACGCAGAAGCCGAAGTAGGGACCATGAGAGGGAACGCAGACACAGAAATTATCGACATCGATCAAGAAGCGGAGATAGGGAACATCATAGGCGCCGACGTGATGATAGCCCTCGAAGAAGGGAAAGAAGTCGAAGTCCGGAAGTGCGACACCGCAGATATCGCAGTAGAAGTCCGGATCGAAGAAATCGGTCAAGGAAGGAAGATGGAGATTTTAAAAACACCGGCCAACGAGATCGATTACCTCGAAGAAGTCGCTCACCTGAGATACGCGGCCGAGAAGAAAGAATGCCGGAGAGAAGGCGTTAATTCACTGCATTTGCTTGCACATAGGGGGTTATTGGAATGGCGTTGCGTGTATAAAAGTATACCCATGGTTGTATTAGCCTCTTGAAGTACTCATCATCTCTGAGGGGATGAATGATACAAAATTGTTTCGAATATTTCGCAGTACTTGAATTGTACTTATGAGCAGGTACTCGTGCTGCCAAAGAGTACAAAACTTCAAACACTAAATACCTAGGTATCAAGCCAGAAAAGGAAAGCTTGAAAATAAAGTATTTTGACTAATAAAATGAATTACTCCTCTTTCTTTCTGGTAAGAGCATCATTTATCAGGTTGATCGGGTTTATCAGTTACGGCCGATGATTACATATGCAGCCTTAGTATCTTCCTGCAGGTACCTTTTGTAGAAATTCAAACGTTACTGGAGTATTTATATTCATTCGTTTTTTTAACAAATTTGACTTTTTTGCTTGCTCAGCACTTTCGGTCAATCATTTCCTTGTGATCATTTGAGACGGCATTTGATCCACTAGATTTAAACCTTTCGTGTTCTAGAATCTGTCTCAGCCTTCTGTCTAGCCTTCCCTAAGCTCCTGATCAACCACCGACTTTCGATTACACTTCATACTCCGCATCATAGGCACTACTGGTACTCCTAATCATAGGCAATATACTCATATATAAAGCTACCCTGTTCCTCTAACTCAAGCATGGTCTACCATACACAATCAGGTTACTTGTTTGTCTAACATACCTTGAGACATTCAGAGCCTCGTCATATCTTTCTAGCGGAGGCAAATCGACATACTGCGAAACGGCACAGAGCTTACTGTGACCATGGATTTTACGAAACTACGAGCAGCTGCGCTGAACAACGGGGATGATGAAGAGGCTGTTACCGTTAATACAAGAGCTTTGATAGATAAAGTACTAGCTAGATACTCCGGAGAATGGACGACCTTACGAGAATTAATCCAAAATGCTGCCGACGCGCAGGCGACGACTGTTACAATCAAATTCGAGACCTTACCCTCGATACAGGTCCCAACGCCGAATACCACAAACCAGTCAGAAATATTGAAACATGTTCTGTTAAACCATACACTGAAGAGGTTATTAGCCACCAACAATGGGCAAGCATTTGGAGTCAATGATTGGTCGAGGTTGAAGAGAATAGCTGAGGGGAATCCTGATGAAACGAAGATTGGAGCCTTTGGCGTAGGCTTCTACAGTGTTTTCGCCGATTGCGAGGATCCTTTTGTCAGTTCAGGAGATCAGGCTATGGCTTTTTACTGGAAGGGGAACTCCTTATTTACCAAGAAGATACAATTGCCTCCTAGTGAAGCGAATCCAAATACCAGCTTCGTCCTTGACTACCGAAATAATACAACGCCAATGCCGAATCTTCTCTCTATAGCCCAATTTCTGGCAACAAGTTTGACGTTTGTGGCTTTACAAAATATTGAATTATATGTGGATGATTACAAGATTATCTCATTGAAGAAGAAATCAGCACCAAGTTATAATGTACCTATCGCAAGGGATGTTGAAACAAGATCGAAAGAAGGGCTCATGAAAGTTCAAAGTCTTGAGAGAGAAAGCGTGCAGATGGATGCAACTTTCATGAGTGTTGTAGGCTGGAAACCTTCCAAGCCATCCACATCGAAGCCCTCTTATGATAATAGTTACGGGAGTTCTGATATACCTTCTCTCCGTACCTTCTTCTCCAGACTTACTTCAAATAATAGCCAGGCTCAACAAAAAGCAAAAGCATTGCAAGAGGAAAAGGCCATGCAAGAAGTGCTACTGGAAGATTTAACAGCTTTGACAACTACTAATGTCTTTTTACGCGTTACTACGGCAATGATCAAGACTTACATTCAGCCAAGTTTTGCAGCCGAGTTGGAACGAGCGACCAAGAAACCACCTCCCAAGACAACCAAATTAGCTATCCTAACGTCATCTTATGATGAAACCGAAGCATCTGCAAATGATAGTCTAGTTTCGAAGAACGTCGATGTCTTTGCATCTGTTCTTCCAGGAAAGAAACCTGGTGGGCGAGTATTCATTGGTTTCCCAACTCATCAAACCACCGGAGCGGGTATGCATCTCTCAGCGCCGTCAGTTATTCCAACGGTAGAGCGAGAATCTATTGATTTAAATGCACGGTATGTACGAACATGGAATCTTGAGATGCTCAGAGTTGCCGGAATCATGGCGAGATTAGCATTTTCCAATGAAATGTCTGATCTTGCTGAGAAGGTTAAACGTGCTACTCAATCCAATGGAAATGGAAATAAAGTTACGAAGCGTGAGATTGAACAGTTTATACCTGAAGCTGCACATATTCTGAAAACATTTACGTTCGGAGATTCTACTCCCAGTTCTCAAGTTGCACAGGTTATCGAAGAAGCATTCTGGACAGCGTATAAACAGGCATCCATTGAAGTCTACAGCACTAGGAGTGTTCTCCCCACGACAAAGGTCCGGTTGGCTACGGAAGATTTGAGTGGCTTTGTCGAGGGAATCCCCGTAGTTCCAGATGCACTCGTCAAGTCTGAGTTCGTGCAAAAGTTGAAGGACTTTGAGCTTATCACCGAAATTACGATTGGTGATGTCAAGCAGGAGCTTGAAGCAAAGGCACTTACTAAGGAGCAACTGATCCAGTTTCTTAAATGGGCAGGTCGTAAGGCTGTGCTGCGTGAAATTGATGCCCAGACTGTTCTCTCTTTATTCGACGTTGCAGTAGCTACACTTGGGGATGATAGTAACCAGGGTGGAATTATCGCGCTGGGCAGCATCACCAATTATTTGAATGTTGCCAGGATACCTCCCGAGGCTCCAGTTCCTCCAACGACAATTCCCTTCGAATTTACTCGAGAATGTCAACCAAACGAGCTCCAGGCACTCGGATGGGAGCCTCTTGAGATTGTGCCGTGGTTACGTTATTTGATAGAAACAAAAGATAGAAATGGGCCTGCGCAAAACATAACTACGACTCCACAATTCGCGGCTAAGGTTCTTCATATTATTTCAAAGTCATGGGAAGGTATGAGTGCCAACTCGAAAGCGAGTGTTATATCACTACTTTCGCCCTTGACCGTCATTCCAACTAAGTGCGGTATGAAGAAACCTGGTGAAGCTTTCTTCGAAAGTGTAAAGCTTTTTGAGGATCTACCTACTCTTACAAACTGTCCAGGTGTCAAAGAAAAGTTTCTTGCAGCTATTGGAGTACGAAAGACAGTAGATCTGGAGACAATTTTCAATCGACTTCTCGCACCTAACACACAAGCTAAAGAGGGCGAGGTCTCCAAGAGCAGTCGTCACATGGACTTGATCAAGTATCTAGCATCAGTGAAGGATGATATTCCGCTAGAAGATCTCAAGAGATTGAGAGAATCACAAATTTGCCCCGCTGAAGCAGGACCCCCAGGTCAAGAATCATCACAAGGCACTGCCCGAATGTACAAAGTTCGTGAACTCTTCGAGCCTAAAGATGATCTCAGAAACCTGGGGCTACCAATAATCCAATGGCCAGGGGCACATTTCAATTCTAGATCAAATGAAGGCCGTTTCTTGGCCATGCTTGGATTGAGATCCTTCCCTGCCGTCCCTGAACTTATTGATTTGATGTCATCAACTGATTTTATTCTCCGAGACAAGGCTATGGTTTACTTCTTAGCGAACCATCACACTAATGGTTATGCGTCTTTTGATGTCAGTGCCACTATGAAAGCAATTCTCCCGATTGAAGGTGATGAGAAACGAAGAGTTGCACCTCTGGAGTGCTTCACGAATGAAAAGAGCTCCGTTCTTGGCTTCGATATCTTACGACAAGACGTTCGAATTCATGCCGATAAATTTGGTGTTGCAGTTAATCCCTCGATAACAGAATGCGTCAATCGGCTCATCCAAAACCCACCGAAGAGTCGTCGTGAGGCCCTCACCCTTTTCGCTTACTTTTCGAGTAGACTTGGTGAACTTGGTCTCCATAGTTGCATCAAACTTGGTGATTCTGCTATTGTCCCTGTGCCTGATCATGGACAAACGCCGAAAGGGCTCTTTAATGAGATGGTGCAGCAGTCTACCAAGATCAAGTACCTCACACCTCGACAATGTTACTTGGGAAGTTCTTCGGAATATAGCAACATTTTTGACTTTGTTGATTTTGGAACCGAGGCCAATGCCTTTCTTTTGAAATGTGGGTCTAAGAATGAGCCTACTAAATTGGAACTTGCTGCTTTAGTTTGTCAAGAACCTGCTCGCCTTCTTGGAATCATGCAGAGTCCTGAAAAGTACTTGAACCTTTTAAGGTCTCTTGCAGTTGATTTACCCATGTTGAAAAAAGATAAGCCTCTTTTCAGGCAAATGAAGCTTTCTAAATTCCTTCTTGGATCTAAGGAAATCTCAGCTGCAAAGGAAAGGCCAAAGTCAACCAGTCTCCTAGATGAGCAGGAATCTGAAGTGGAAGAACTGGAAGATGCTCCACTCAAACAATGGCATTTGGAGCAGCCTAATCAGATTGTTGTTGTTGATGATTATAATAGCTACCGTCTCTTCAAAGAGAATCTGATTTGTGCACCTTTGGAGGATAAACTGGAAGAGTTCTATCTTGCACTCGGGTCTGCCAATCTTAGTGAAATTGTACAAGAAGATCTCCGCGTTGGTGAGGCCGTTCCGTACCAAGGAGATTCCTCCAAACTCCGGAAGCATATTCTTGAGAGAACAAAACTCTTCTTGCATGAATCACCTCGAGAGAATGTGAGGCGAGATAGTCGATGGCTGGAGAAGAATTTGACGGTATCAACTGTAAGTGGTATACAAGTCAGGCGGTCTTTGAGAGGTCATAATTTGTCGAATACAGAGAAGAGAACTGCTGCCTGTGTCCAAGGGCGACATGAAGGATTGCAACTCTTGGTTACTAATGCATACGATACATATCAAATCAGTCAGGCTATGTGTAAGCACTTGCTAGCTCGCCCGCAGCAACAGTCTTACCTGACATTCGAGTCCTTCCTTACTCTATCCTTGATGCAATTACGTTCTCGTGGTTATAATGTGGAAAGAATTCTGAGAGCCAAGGCAGCTGAAGCTAGAATTGCAGAAGAGGAACGCAAGCGACAGCTTGCCATAGAGCAAGAACAGATCAAGGAGCAAGAAAATCAATGGCAACAAGACCGCAATAAACAGGCTGCTGTGGCTTCGGCAGCTGCACGAGAGGAAACCCGCCGTGATTCTCATGTTGCAATGCCTGGCGCATTTGGTTCCGATTCCCCGTCACCACCACAGGTCAAGAAAGAGAAGAATCGTGGATTGTTTGCAAATCTTACACGTCGATTAGGTCTTGACAACAGTGATGATGAATCACCAAGATCCCCTACCACACGTGCACCATTATCCGAAGATGCGCCACCACCTTATAGCGAGACTGCTGGGCAGAAGCCACAGACAGAAAGTGTCACCTCTAACGGAGCCATCAAACAAAACCTTCTTAATGCCATTCAAGCATCTAGAGCCCATGACTCTTCTGATCTTTTCTCGCCCCCCTCTGCAAATCAGGTTAAAGAACAAGCCGAATATTGTGATTCAGCTTCTGGCCAAAACCTCACATACTTTGCCGATACTTCTAATGGCACACGAGTCTTCACATCCAACGATAGGATCAATCCTAACGGCCCCAATTTAACAGATTTCTTAGCTGGCAATGTCTCTTCTCTCAACGTTTTCGCAACTTTACTTCATGAAGCGGCGGATATATATAATTTGCCCCGAAAAGCTATCCATATCTTTTATGATGACCATGGGAATACGATTGCTTTTAATAGCAAGGGCAGTATCTTTTGTAATTTTAGATTCTTTGAACAGTTGCATCTCAAGAAGCTGGAATTGAAGGGTGGAGAGGAAAAGGTTGAGGCGGGCGCTTATTGGTGGGTAGTACTTGCGCATGAGTTGGCTCATAATTTGGTTAGTGCGCATAATTCGGATCATAGTTTCTATACGTAAGTATTCTCTTTCTTATCCTTAGTCTCTTATTGGGAGTTGGTCGCCCGGGGACGAAATAAAGGGGGGGATAGGAGATGAATGTATCAAAACAATGGAATGCTAACAACATGCCAAATAGCGAACAACTTATTGCGAACTACTTTCCAAAAATGATAGCAAGAGCAGCTAAATACACTGCAGTATCGCCAACACCAAGAGAGGCTACTGAAGGACGAAGTTCGAGTTCTAATTAATCCTAGACTTAACTTCAAAAACGATAAACGATTTGATGCTGAGGCAAGGAGTTTTACTTTTTACATATTTTATCATTCTCAGGTGTACATGGTGTAGGTGGTCTAGAACATATAGATATGTATCATGATGCAGTAAGGTTTGCATAGATATGGCGTTTTCATGGATTAGATTATTTTGGGGATATACATACATAGGATATTAATAGTTTGGTTCGGTTTGCGTTGGGTCTTCTTTTCTGATGGAGAAGGGTAGGATAGAATATGAGATTGTAAGTAAATGAATAGATACATAAATTTGTGCTTCTAAATATCATTTTCGTCTTGGTATTATTGCGCGGCTTGTAGGTTGTGAGTTGAAATATTACTGTAAGTATACTTCGCCAATTTAGCTAGCTAGTTAGCTAGCCAACCAACCAACCAATAACCCTCTATCTAGACCCTCTTACAAAATCCTATTGTTGCATATCTATTACAGGGTGTTAAGCCTACAGATAGATAGATGCCTGTAACCTAATATTACTATACCTACCATAACATATCAAATCGACAGGATTAATTACTAGTATATAATGTTGTTGTGAGAACTTGGATTGGACATGTAAGATTATAAAAAGTTTCAGAACTTAACCTATCCCTCACCTCACAAGCAATGCAAAATGCAAAATCTTAGGCTGCGCAACGGATGGTCCACAGAGCAGGTATTAGCTCTAATTAACGGATAATCCACGGGGCGGATTGCCTACGGGTACCCGCGGGTTGCGGGTTATTTCCGCGCAGGCTACAAGATCTAGACATGACTACTCACGGAAGAGAGAGAGAGAGAGGGAGATATATATATATATAAAGCTTTTATTCAGCGGATAATGTATGTACAAACTAGGTAGGTAAACTTCATATGTACAACCCCCTCAAACGAACGGGTCTTTTTAACTTCCCAGTATCATCTTCCACCAGATAAGAACAATAAAGAGTGTTTCGTGTTGATTCATTTCTTCGTTCATCCATCCATTCATTCATTCATCCATTTGTCAGGCCATCCATCGATCCACCACCCATCCATACGCACCATTTCTTTTCCAATCCCTACAACACAACACTTAACCAAAGGTAGAGTTGATAGCACCAACCTTAATGTTGCTGTAGACCACATAAGCATTTGGAGAGCTAGCCTCCACGCTAGCGGGAACTCCACTGCTAGTAGAGCAGGTACCTCTTGGGCCACCAGCACCGGTCTTGGTAGTAGGGTAAGTAGAGTCAAGCCAAAGCATGTTGGCATAGTAATCATCCCAGAGGGACAAGACGAGAACCATACCAGCTTTAAAAGCAGCAGACATGGAAGCCAAACCGCCGTGGTCGGAGAAGGAGGTTGGGTCACCAAAAGCAGTCTTTTGGGCGGTGCAGAAGGGGGTGGTGATGGAGTTTCCGCTAACACCGGAGATGGTCGACGCGGAGTTGGGGATAACTTTGCCATTTTGTACGTAGAAACGTTTGATTTCGTTGAGGGTACCGGATGAGGTGCCATCGGTGGTGAGGAACTGGTTATTATGTTAGCTTAAACCCTTTCAAGTTAAATCAAAATGGAGATAGTAAATTATCTATTGCTAAAAAAAAACTCACCTGAGTAACGACGGTGAAAACGGAGTTGGTGTCAACGGTCTTTCCTGGACCATAGAAGCCCTTGTTACCCTGGCGGTATGGGTTGAAATCACATCCATCTGGATCACAAGTACCAGCATATCGTGTTGTCGAGTAGGTGCCACCACAATTATTTCCGGTGCAGACGGTTTGGGTCACGGTATCACAAGAGTGAGGAGTAACAGCAGTGGAGATTGAGTTTGCTTCCCAGATATCCATTTCAGCACAGCATGAGCCGTAGTTACCAACACCAGTGTTGGGGTTGTTGGATGAGGGTACCCAACCATCAACGTTTGCCTAAGCGATTCGTCAGATTACCATCAACCCCTTTGGAATGTGTACTTGAACTTACTTTTCCCTTAATGAATTTTCCATCACGAGGACATTGTGAGTCACAATATCCTGTACCGTACTTGGCACCGGCTTTGTTCGTCGAGGATATACCGCCATCAGCGGGGAGATTGGCGAAGTAAACAGCACCGTTCAATCCGCAAGGAAGATTGGAGACATCAACATCGAATGTGAACTCTTGGTTCAAAAGATTGAATGTCTTGTAGTGAGTGCTGTCGGCTAAGAGGTAAACACGAGATCCGATATTCTTGTTCGATGATTGAGTAACAAAATTGAGTCTCAAAGAATCACCACTGGTTGTGATACCGTAGGTTCCAGAATAGTCTGCGCCATCAAGTGCACAGTTCTGTGCACAGGTGGCATCATCTGGACACAGTGTTGCATCCCAAGTGTTTCCTGTATAGCAGTTTGTCGAACTGGTCGTTCCATGAGTCCATCTCCAGTTTCCATCGAGGACGATACTGCCGCTTTGTGTAGTGCATGATCCTTTAGCAGTACAAGACTGCCAAGTAAGAGAAGGATGATTCTCCGCGGTGTAGGTACCGATCTGTTGGCCATAAGCGGCCGCGAAAAGTGACGCGAGGGCGATTTTGGACGTCATATTGATTCCTTGCTCAGTTCTCGTATTCAGGCAAATTATGGTTGAACTGAAGAGATCTTGAAGGAAGAAAAGGCATTCACTTTATACTTCTTTCGCGTTTCCTCTATACTGCTCAAGTTTCCCTTCTGCATGGTCCACTTTCTCAACATACCTATCAACCCTCTAACCTCCTAGACGACCGGCTCGAAACTCCGCTGGATTGACGGTATCTTGAACCTAATACCAGCAACACGACCGGACAAGCGGACCGTAAAAACGAGACAACGCTGAAAAGCCACGATGAGATACATAGAAGGTCGTGCTGACCTGGTGGAGAAATTTGAGAAATAAGCTTTATTTTTCATTCCGGGGCCCCACACATATCAGAACATGTCATAGCAAACTTCTTAGCCATCTATTACAGAGGGGGTCTGCCAAGAACTTAAATTAAAAAATACGCAATATTTGAACTCAGGAACATCCTACACAGAATAGTGATACACAGAAATTTCTCCGCGTTCCCCCCTTTCTGTGAACATGCTAGTGGCCAATGGTCGTCAGTGAACTATTTAGCCGAGAAATTAAAGTTTTGTTTCGGCATGAAAGTTCGCTTTTTCGCGCTATTACACTTTACTATGTATTTGTTTGAAACAACATGGAATAATCCTTCCGAAAGATCTATCTAATCATCCCCCTATTTCGAAAGAGCTTCATGATTTTAGACAGTCGTCGGAGACAGAGATTACAGGATAAACATTGCGTCCACTGCTCAATTTTTATTTATATAGATTGAAAGACTTTCCAATAGAGCACAGGGGTTTGATATATTTGCAGGTCCGGCGTCCACTTCTACCGACCGAAAAATATCTACACCTTCCCATGTAACTTTTCTTCCAATTAGAAGTCTGTTTGAGGGCAGGGATTCCCCAGTTTTTACAATGTAACGGAACGTGGTCATCAGATCGCCAAGTAAAGCTTTATTGGAGAAGGATAAATTATCCTTCAAAATTGAAGAGCTAACTTCTCCGGGAAGTGCGGCCTTAGCATCGGGGGGATTAACAGAACATCAACGGTCATCCAATGGACTGAAGTGAATGAGCGGAAGGTTCGGCAAAGTGGGTCCAGCAACAAAGAAAATATTCAAGGGTGTGTTCGTTCCATAGCCATCTCCAGGCAACACAAGATGCTACTTTTATGTCAGAAATCATTGCGACGACGAGTACGAAGCATCACATTACAGAATACTGACCACTAAAAGCCTCTGTCATATTTTCCCAACAAGCCCCATACATAGTCAGTTCATTCCACTTAGGCTGAGGTAGAAATATCTTCCGTTATCTGTTGTGTACCTCAAGATTGAGCTGCACCTTATTCAATTGTGGGGAAATCTTGAGATCGCCACTGCACTCAACCTCTTGCTCCTCAGTCATTTGCCATAGTGCAGAATTCCTGATCAAGCTCGGAGAATGCCCTTCCGCGTTGTATTTGTGATGCTGCGAAATGTTGGCACTATCCACGTAATTCATACTTTCTTCAGACTCAAGGCGCCTGATGTCTCATGGCGGCCACTAATCCCAACCCAATCAATGCACAATCCTTCAACACGCCGTTTCTTCCTGTACTCCAGCGCCTTAGCGAACAGAGTAGACTTGATGGTTTTCTAACCCGCGATCCGTTTTAGGACCTGATGGTATCAATATTAATAATGCAAAAAGCCCTCGAATAATTTCAGAGAAAGAGGAAATCAAGCTTAGCTCACCAATCGAGCCGAAGGTGATGATGTAAACCCTAAATTCGTGATGCAGACTTGCTAATCCAAGGCCTTGATGCATTGATTTTATCCCCGCTCATGTCAGCCAGCGCCCCACTTGATCCTCCACCGTCTCCTCAAACGGATGAGTAGTATGTCGAGAGCTCGGTAAAGATACAGGAAGTATTCCTCGAGCCGGTCGAACGCCAAATATTACCTCCACCGCTGCTCTAAAAGCTGAGACACTAGGCTCATATATTGCGATGTAATTTTTTATGACATTCCTATCTTCAAGAAAATCGTACGGATCACAAGTTGCAATTGTGATGAACTTCTTGTTCGGAATAAGAGATTTGCCCAGAAATCGTCCCAAAGCTTTTTGATAGGGACTGAAGGTCGCATTTCTGGTCGCAAGAATTATCATATCAGCCTCCGCAAAATGAATCATGTCCTTGTGACCTGGACCCAATAAATATCCCTCGTTGAATTGTATGTCAATGATAGATTCACAGTAAGGCTTGAGAGTCTCAATATACGAGATGAGCAGTGGGGATTGAGCTGCTCTATCCTCACCACTGTCAACAGCACCACCCCCTAGATGTGCCTCTGATGCGAACAACAATAAAACTTTCATAGAATCTCTTGGGATTGAAAGATATCCCAGCTCAGTGCGGACAACAGTTGTGCTCTTGGCGTAAACTTCTGACGCAACTTTTGATGATTCTTCGTTAAGCATTTGAACATTTGAGTAAGAATCAGCCGTTGAAACACTCGTGGATAAATATTTAGTCTTTAGTCGTATAACTCAGTCTACTGATGACTCAACCACCTCCTGGGAAATCTCACCAGATTTCACTGCAGCAATAACAGCTTCAATGGCACCGACTTGAGCTTTCATTGTGTGACACACCATGACACAGTCAGTTCCTGCCTATATGCACAAGATTTCAGCATTGGCTTTTGTAAGAATATTCGTGATAATGACCTTTAATGCCATAACTGCTCCTTTCTCTGTCCCATAAGTCGCTCTAACGCCGTCCATTTCTAAACAATCACTTACTATCAAGCCATCATAGTCCATCTCCTGGCGCAAGATTCTTATTGCATCGGGACACAAGCTAGCTGGCAATTGGTTGTTAGCTACGTTGAAATTTCTGTTTAACTGAGGTAGAGATATATGAGCAGTCATAATAGCATCTACACCAGCTTTCACAGCACGCCGGAACGGTACCAGCTCACAGGCTTCTAGTTCCCCTTTGGATTTAGTAATAACCGGAAGGCCATGATGAGAGTCCACAGCCGTATCACCATGGCCAGGGAAATGTTTGACGCAAGACAGTATGCCATTTTGCTGTAAACCTTCCACTTGAGATGATACAAATCTTCCCACTGTCTGCGGATCATCTGAGAATGATCTTACTCCAATGACGGGGTTCTTTGGTTCTGAATTTATGTCCGCAACGGGGGCATAATTCATGTTGATACCATATGCTTTCAATATTTTGGCTGTGCATACAGCAACAGTAAAAGCATTTGACGGATCATTGGTCGCTCCCAGAGCCATGGACCAGGAAGTTCTGTTGCAATAGGTGGATTGATACGAGCCACTAGTCCATTTTCCTGGTCGATTGCAATGAAAAGACTCTGAGCATGCCCAGAACCTTTTGCGATCTCTTGTAATGAAGCAGTTAATTGGGACAGTTGGGCCGAATCTGCGACATTTCTCTGAAAAAGTATGATGGTTCCGACTCTGTGAACTGTGATGAGAGTCTTGATATCTTCGTTGGTAACATGGCCATGAAATCCAACAATAAAAAGCTGCATTGTCCTTAAAGTCAGTATGATAAATCGATTGCGTCATCGCATTTCGAGGTTATGCCATCCCTCCGCCCTCCGCGAATCCCATGACATTGGGGAGACTGGAGAATTGAAAGACGCAGCAAAAATACCATGGATCACTCTAAAATACAAAATTATTTAGACAGTTTAAGACATACCTGTCCAACTTTATCCCTCAGTTCTTCATCAGACCAGTGATTGGTTGCTGCTTGCGTGTCAGATACCATCGCCACTCTTTGTGTTCGGTGCATCTTGATGATTAGAGAAGCTTCATTGGGGATTCAAATATGAATTCCTTCCAATATAACTTTGCATTTGACAATCCATCAAATGAAATCGGTGCCTGCCCAAATGGGACAATTGAAGAGCACGTGTGTGGGAGGAAGTTGAAATTAGGACAGAGATAAGAGTTGAGAATTAATCACGTGATGTTGTTCTCACCGGAGTTCCCCAAACCGAGCTCGATCTTGGCTCTCTCCCGAGGTGCGGTCTGAAGATAATTACATCAAGACAATTTTCCTCTCAAGCCGTCTTTGATCTGAAAGACTCTTTTTGGCTAATATGGTCTTTAACAATACTGCAATGGAGCGACTCCGGGTGCAACGTGATAATGTTCTCTTGTTTGAAGAGTGCAACACGACAAGTCCATTTTGTACGATGAGGAGCTACTCCTTATAGACATGAAGAGCTTTCCTTATCAACATGTCTTCCTTTATTCAAATACGGGTTTAGGAAGATTCATTACCAGAAAGGAGAATAAGTATGAATTCTCTTGAGATCAGTCGAACTGACGACCACACCATAAGAGCAAATGGAGATGAAACTAATCTCGATGATACGAAAACCGATCGCATGAAGCATAGTCTGGATAAATATGAAAAGCTGTTTGGTATCGACGAAGAATCCTCTAATCAGCCTTCAACGACTAGGATGGAGCTATGGTCATACTACCTTTATTACAACGTGAGCGCCATTCCATCACCCTTATGGAGTATTCTAATAACTGTCAATCTCCAGGGAAATAATGGAGTAGGGCCTGCAAACTATTCTCAGACTCTTTTTCAATCTGCACTTAATAATGCTGGGTGGGATCCCGCGATTACACCTATTAAGACAGGGAACTGTACCACAGGAGGTTGTGTAATCCCATGGGGTTACGGTACTAGATCTGTTTCTAGTGTGGTTTTACTTGCGAATGGGATTTGCTTCAGCATTATGACGATAATTTTTGTGGTCTTTGGTTCCGTTGCAGATTATTCGAATTTTGGGAAATGGATACTTTTGCTTCTTACGGTCGTGGTATGTAGCGAAATCCTGGCGTGGAGGTTACACTGACGGATATAGGGTTGGGCTTTCCAATACGGAATGATAGCTATCACAAAGCCTGACCAGTGGCCTACAGCTATGGTATTATATATAATATCATACATTTCATACGGTGTTAGTATCTCCATTGCTTCATTTACATCATGGCATTAATATGGTGGTGAATAGACGACATTGGTATTCTACTATTCATTATTCCCCAGGTTAGCCCGCTACATGCCTCACGTTCGAAAAGCTCGAGAGGAAGACCTTAAAGATAATAAGATCAATCAAGATGAATATGATAAAATAGAAAGCATGGAAAGAAACCATATTAGCAATATCTCTACTGTTCATGCCAGTATTGGATACGTTCTTGTGCTAGCGCTTAGTCTTTCTGTCCTGATTCCATTGCGAGGGCATCTCTTTGCCAACAATCTTGCTTTGTGCCTCACCAACTCATGTAAGCAATTATAAGCAAATGTGCCATCACGCTTCTCGCTGAACATCTGCAGATTGGCTTGTCCTCGGCCTTCCCTGGTTTATTTTCCAACAATCACGCACTGGACCACCTATACCAAAAGGCAGTTCTTTTTGGACTATCGGCTTGAAACAAGTCTATCACGCCATTCGTGAAATTCGTCATCTCCCTCGAACTTTTACTTATCTCCTCGCATCTTTCATGCTTGCCGATGGGTTTAATACAACTATTACGCTCATCTTCATTATCCAAAACGAAGTCATCTCTTTCTCCTTTCTTCAATTAAGCTACCTTGGACTCTCACAAGCTGCGACCTCCACGGTCTCTACTTTTGCATTTTGGTACATTCAACAGTATTTTGGCATTCGGACCAAGTCTATGTTCATCGTAACCAATGTCTTTAGCGTTTTAATTCCACTCTATGGTGTGATCGGATTGTGGTCCGACAAGGTAGGCTATCACCGTGTTTATGACTTTTGGATCTACAATATCGTTTTTGGATTATTTCAAGCGCCGTATTATGCTTATTCACAGACTATGATGAGCGAGGTTACTCCTAGAGGATATGAGGGAATGTTCTTTGGATTATTTGGGATTACCAATCGAGCTGTATGTTATAATTCGCTTCTTTTCTTAGCTTTCGTGAATTTGAACTGATCAATAGCTACATCAGTCATCAATTATTGGTCCATACGTCATCCAAGCCATTATCAATAACACCAATAACAATTGGATGGGATTTCCGTTCTTATTCGCTCTGTGCACTTTTGCGAGCATACTCATTTGGTTTGTGGATGTTGAAAAAGGAAGAGAGGATTGCAGGAGATATGTCGAAGAACGGAAAGTTGTTCATGAAGTTAGTAGTATTTGCCTAAGACATATCACCTCACTGTTTTATATTGTTCTCTGACCTTTCTACCATAGAGACAAGCTATTACTAGCACAATACCCCTGCCAGTACAAACGCAAAATGACCCTTAGGTGTTCATTTCATTCCCTCGATCAGGAGTGATTACCCTTTACTTGGAATCTACTCCAGGAGTGACATTCCTCAAGCAAAAATGGCCCAAACTCAAAATGTCCGAGACCATGAATCCCAAGTCGAACCCTCTTCCAAATTCGCATCAGTATTTCTTCACGTCAATCATTTCACTTTTCAGGAATAATCCAAGCATTGACATTTTCGGCATTCATGCTTGAATATTAGGTTAGCATTGGTACGAGTTGCCGTATATAGATGCTTAAATATGTTGCAAATATACACAGACTCGATAGCACTGGGAATTTTACTTGCATCTCAATAATCTGCGGATGTGAGAAAGGGTTTTTAACGTGACGTGAATTTCAATATGCTGCCAAGTTCATGACAACATCTGAATTTGGTCTAAAAAAACTGAATGATCTCTCCGCTTTTTACCTCACAAAAATTTCAACATGCGATCAAAATCCAAAATGAAATGGGCATTGAAATCTTGTATACCTCATATTCTTCAATCTCAAAATACACAACGGACAGGCGTGGTCTTCCAAACTTCATCCTATCCACTTCTATTTAAGGATCCGCTCGAGGAAGAACAATAATATAGTCATCTTATATATCCCAAGCACGCCACTCCAGAAAATACATACATCAAAACTTTAACACATTCTTCAAAATCAATAATTTATGGTCAAAATAGCATGAAAAAACTATCCCATACCTAGCGGTAGCATCTATTCTCCACTTCGCGGAAACTCTATCAGACCAAAAATCTTCCGATAATCGAATTCTTTCGTCCGAAGACACCTTCCGCCCCACTCCACTCCCTCCCTTCCCTTCCCTTTCCCACCCTTCATCATAAACCCAGATACAAAACGAAACCCACCCACAAACAAGCATTTCGCATTTGAGATCATTTCAGAATTCCTACCTACCCTACCTACTCGGTACTCACGAGTCAACCACCACGCACAGTCCCTCGGGGCTCAAACCAACCAACCACCAAACCCTGGAGAAATCTCGGCATGTAGAACTGTCTGCCGCACTCCGTATTCCGTCTGTACCTACTCAGTACATGATCCGATGATTAGCGAGAAAATCTCACGATGTTTTCCTCTAACAAGAAAGTTTTTGGGTAAGATCTTAGTGTGTTCCAGATTCTAGAATTCTAGAATTTGCGGTTCGGATATTTCTTGGGGATGGATGGCAGTGGGAGGTTTGAGTTTCGGGGTTGGTTTTGTGATTTGTGGTATGGATGATGCGGGATAGATGATTATTTATTCATATCGGTTTTCTCTTTACCTTCTTTTCTGCTTTGATAGTGTACATTTAGTGGTCGATATCTTTAGTCCAGATTAAGTCGGAATATTCATTCAGTTATCAGTCTATTCTCATCACACCACACCTCATCACACCACACCGCATCGTACCACATCTCACCATAGCTCACTCGAATCCAATAATCCTGAAACCATCCCTTATCAACACGCAACTTTAACAACTCTCCAACACCCACCTCCATCTCCATCTCAATTTCCATTCCAGCACCAGCCCCATCCAACCACCAAAACCATGCCCCCAAGCCTCCAAACCCTCTGGCAAACCCTCAAAAAGCCCTTCTCCTCCTTCCACTTCCCCAAATTCATCATAACCTACCCGGAGAGTGCACAAACAGGGAACGGACCTGCGGATTTCTTCTCCACACCCACCAGGACCGAGACTCAGACGAGGGAATGGGAGCGGAGGATGATTAGACGATAGATTTTATGATGTGAAAAGGGGAAGGAAGGAGATGAGGGGATGAGGTTTATATGAAGTGCTGAAAGGCTGTGGAAAGGAAAGCAGATCGCAATAGGGAGAAAGAAAAGTGCAGGAAAGTACAGGATGTAATAGGAACGGAACAGAACACGAGGCGAAGATTGGAGTTCATCAACTAGGGAGACAAGGAAAATTTGGGATGGGGATTAGGGAGAGGAGTTTGAGTTGAGGATACGGAATGGGTTTAATTTATTATGGGATTTAGGATATACGGAATCCATACGAATTGGTGTTGAGAAGAACAGATGGAATTGCGACGAGGAAAAAGAGAATAGGAGATAGGGAAGGGGAGGAGCACGACATACCACGGCAGGCTAACAGGCGCGCTGGAAAATTTTAAAATACCACTCCTATCTCTTAAGCGCATGTATGAAATCTTTGGCTTATATGAAAAGGAAGTAATAAGGGCGGGATGCGGAAAAGTAGTCTCTATTTGTCTTGTGTTAGAAACTGAAACCTTTAGAGTATTAATATCTACAATCGCGTAGTATCCATTTAACCATTTTAATAATATTTCCACCTATCATAAAAGCCACCATCAAAAACAAAATCTGCACACATTCTCTCTATTTTTATTTTTTTCAAACGGGGAGAACCTCCCTCCCCCTCCCCCTCCAAGCACTTCATCAACTACTTCACTCCATTGATGATTAGAGATAGTTTCATACTACCACTCACCCACCACTCACCCACCATCTACACCTCACCACCAAAAGAGCACACCAATTCCATAAAACCCCTTCAAAACTCAAGTTTAACTCAACCTCTGCATATGAAGAGATTAGATCAATCATATCATATCATATCATGTCATATCATATCATTGCGCTGAGTCGCGTCCATCAAAAAGTATACATAAAAAAAAGAATCCAAAATAAAGGATTCATCTCAAAGGAAATTGTAAAATTACTATTAATCATCCTCTTCTTCCTCTTCCTTTTCCTCATCCATAGATATAGATATAGATATAGAAACGAAGAGTAATAAATTTGCATAGCAACATGTGGAACTACCACTTTGAATTAAATATTGGGGGTTCGAGACCCATCCTATCTCTGTATTGTTTTCACCATTATACACACCATTGCTCGTATGTCGAATCACCTATACAGAATCATCCTTCCTCGATAGATATTTCAATATTTGATTCATTGCATTCCTCTTCAGAGATATGCGGATAACTCACTTCTTTCTCTAACTCACGACTAACAACTAGCAGCCCATAGCCCATAGCCCAAGCTCATATCCCACATCTCATAAATTCCAGAAGACACCAAATAGCCAGTCAGCAGCATCCGGTAAAAGTATATTCTCATCTTGATCTTCCCAAAGCCATTCTAACACAAACTCCATTCGCCACAATGCATTCGAGTTACGTTCCATTCCGTTCCTTACTAATCAAGCCAATAATTTGATATCCCTATCCATCCAAGCCAAGAGCAGATCAAAACAAATTAATTCAGACTGTACCATAATAGCTCCAAAACGCCCATCTCGCTACATCCCAGCCTTGTTCACGAAATAAAAAGAAATATCGTACAACCAGTTAGGCAGTCAAGTAGCACAAATTCGAAAAGAAAACATGATGTCAATAAGAAATCAGATTGGCACATCATGTTCCCTAGCCATCCCACTTTTGCAACTAGCGATTTTGGAAGCTCGGCCTAAAAGCAGGAGCTGCTCCATTCAGACCAGAAGATCCAGAAGTAAACTGTTTTTTTGGAGGTCTTGCAGGTGATTCTTCTTCATCATCACTACTGCATAAATCAATAACTTCCGAAATCTGTCTCTTAGCACCTGTTGATGATCCCAATGGATTAGATCGACTAGATGGTGCTGCCGATAAGGAGTCGCGAGTACTTTGTGCTTGAATTCCAATACTGTTTGAGATACCAGTACTAGTTCTTGTAGTTGGTGTACTGGCTATCCTTCCACCAGGGGAAAGTTCGATCAAGTCGTCATCGTCATCATCGGAGAAATCGCTTGAGGCTACACCTGGTCGCGATGATATGGTGTCGGGCCTGTTGTAGAGTTTCCACTGTCCCTCTGGTTCTACTGTGACTTGATCCACAGATTTTGATGTACTCTGTAATATGTCCTTTACATATCTTGAAATATGTCAGCAATCTTATAATGCGTGCAGAAAGTCTTGTACTTACTCATCAACAACTAATGTCTCGAAAGGCGCAGAATTGTTGCATATTGGACATGACCAAGTTGGCCCTTGTTCTTGTAGCTGGAGATAAGAAGTCGCATCGAAACATTGGTTATGTCTGCACGATATTGATCGACAAGGTAAATCAATTCGTAAAGTCGATAATGGGCACTTCAATGATAGAACCGAAGCAGTGGTTACAATATCGGCATCTCTTGATTTATGAATCACTTACAAAAATTAGGACAGGGACATGGAATATTGAGGGGATGATAGCTTACTGTCATTGACAACTGATTCCTTGGTAATCTTTTTGCCAACCTCCAATCTCTTAACCAAGTCTTTGACGGGAACTAGCTTGACCATATATATAACCAAATAGAATTTCTATAATCAAAGTTAGCATTGCAACTCTACGGGACCAAAGCCAACAGCACATTGTAAATCCTATAGAAATACATGGTAGGATCGTGCATGGTGGATATTAACCTCAGACGCCACGAAAGCTCCATTGAGACCTGCCTTTGTAGTCAACGCATAGGTCATCTCGACAGTGTTTTGATATCCAGGAACTTTTAACCTTAGTTCCTTGGTAATATCCACCGGTCGAGTTGATCCAGGTTTGTTTTTCAATCCTCGTAGGTTTGCCTTAATCTCTCCTGAGTTCACTTTGATCTCAGATTGATGAGGAAAAGCAATATCCTGTCTCCCATTACCTTCGCCCGCACAGAATACCATTACTCTTAAGGTTGGGTCGTTCATGACTCTAGACAATATAGGGTTGTTTTGGACCTTGACCGGCATGTTCACGGTGTGACGGTGTTGGTTCATGGCTGTTCGATAATGATTAGCATAACATTTCAGAACTCCCGACGAAACACCAACCATCACAAGGTTTGACCTCTCCAATTTGCTCCATGATATCGTAGAATGGACTTGGTTTGAACTCGAGCTCTATGAATAATTAGATCAGGCGCATAACCTTATCACCAAGGTCTCACGTACTCATTCCATAACCCATCGGCCTGTTATATGACGGCATGCTTGCTCTAGGTGTGGGATAATTTGTTGCGCCGCCGTTAGGTATTGAATTTGCTGCTGGTGAAGCTGAATTTTGATATGAACGTGGTGGGTTAATTCCAGCTGTTACTGTCTCGGGATTGTCTATGATTCGTCTTAAGCGGTTGAATTTGGTCTCATCCTGCGCATTCGCGTAGAACCTGATTCCTTTATAAAAAGAGAAAGGTTAGCTTTGATTTCTAATACTGCAAGCTATCGTATAATGGAAGCGCCGGTAGACTGGAGCATGAGGCTGCGCGAGTTCGCGATCATCAACTTCTTAAAGATGCAAACAACCTACTATCGACAATTCTTGACTGTAACTCTGCCTTCACACCTTGTGTTCTCATATCCTCAGCGGAACAGATGCTCTTCAATGTCGAGTTGAGCATTCCACCATTCTTCACCTTTCGTACATATGGCTCTGGATCAAGGAAACCCCCACCCCCCATCGAGGCCATTTCCTATCGGTGGATGAGGAACAAGCTAAATCAATCAGCTTGAACTTTGGAAACTTCCTAGAAATGGTGAAGTGATGAAAATTTGTAAAGAGAAATAAGAGCAGGTATTCCTTACGATATTGACAGGAGAAACGAAATGGCCTTTGTTTTTGTATCGTTTCAATATTATTTGCTTTTTGTGCCTTTCTTGTAGGTTGGATGTGAATTTGTTTCTACCTCCGAGTCGTAATGAATGTTCATGCAATCAAATTAGGTAGGCGGTGAATTTTGGTCGAATTATTTTCCGGTGGTTTGCCGCTAAGATAAAAGATTGAGTAGATAGAAATCTATCAAAAATCAATTTCATTATTGCGCATTAAAAAGAAGGTTACATCGATTTTCTGCAAGTTTTTATAATATTCTAAAGTAACATACCATATCTTGGTCATACATACATACATACTTCATTCATTCATTTCAATTCCAACAATGGCTAAGGGTGCGCGCTCAAGTTCCATCAAAGCAAATAATTCCGCCTTGAAAGCCAAAGTATTTGGTCCGGTCGAAAATGCAAGAGCTGAGAGGTTGAATGCGAAACTTATGGAATTGATTTCTCAGCCAAAGCCATCAGCGAAGACTGAAGATGTTGATATGGAAGGGAAGGAAGCAAAGGACGTAGAGGGTATGGAATGGATCCTTTTTTTGACGGAAACTGTTCTCTAATAATCTATTCAGCATCTGCAAAAGATACTACGAACGATGCCGCCGCAGCTCAAGAAAAGCCATCCGAAAGTAATAAAAAATTTCATATCTCTAGCGCTTACTCGAATCTTTCTTTAACTGACATATGAAACTGCAGAAATGGAGGTAGATGCTATTAGCAAGGTCGGCTCAAAGTCAAAGAACCGTATTTCCAAGAGAAAAGTTAGCAGTCGCAAATCGCAAATGACTTTCACTACATATAAGAATGGGAAGAAGGTAGGAGGAGGTAGAAAGCAAAAGATCTATTGAGGAGAATGGGATGTTGCAGGTCAAAAATAGATGGTAATTTATAGGCGCATCGGACAATCTGGTTTTGGGGGCATGGAGTTCATGGTGAGGGTTAGGTTAAACCCTCTGACATACAAAAATGAGGAGTAGTTTAAAGGACTTCGAACTTCAAGAGAATATACCTACCAAGAATTTAACAGCTGTAGGCTTTCCGCCGACCTCGAATTAGAAAAGAAAGACCTTTGACCTTTCCCCTCAAATATGCATCGCACAAAAATATCTCATTTATCCATGTCAACTGACCGATAAGGATTTCTTATCAGGATGCCAAACGCGTTCGCAAACCTGACACCTAGCTTCTCTCAATCCAAACTTCCTGAAAGATTCTTCGGACTACTATACAAATGGCAGAGAATAGTTCGGATAACAGCATTCTCTCTTTCTCGAGCTAACATAAAATTGATCCCACGCAAACGGTCAATGGGTCAAGACTGAAAGGCGCAAAATGGTCTCCAGGACACGAAACTCTTTGCTCTTGGCAGCAAATATTCTCATGCCAATTGCTATATTGATATTTGCCAGTGGCTTTTTTCCCTATAAGCCATTTCTCTCTGGATTAGCACAGTATGAGTCTCTGGATTTTGGAGAACCTCCGGAGGCTCCATTTGATAAGGTCATCTTCATGGTTGTTGATGCGCTGAGGAGGTAGAGATGACTTCAGGCAGAGTCTGAGATCAAAGCTAACCTTAACAGCGATTTTGTATTTTCAAATAATTCTGGATTCAAATTTACTCAGAGGTCAATTGTATATCTGCCAGCTTGTTTAACATCCACTAACTCTTTCTATAGTCTCATCTCCAATGGCGCTGCACTTCCATTTACAGCTCATGCGACTTCCCCTACCATTACTATGCCAAGAATAAAAGCTATAACAACTGGATCTATACCTTCTTTTCTCGACGTAATTCTCAATTTCGCAGAATCAGATACATCTTCGTCTTTGGCGACTCAAGATACATGGCTAGCACAAATGAAAGCAAAAGGGAAGGGAAAGATGGTCATGTATGGAGATGACACTTGGTTGAAGCTATTTCCAGAAACTTTTAATAGAGCAGATGGAACTTCAAGCTTTTTTGTTTCGGTTAGTCCTCGAGTGGTTGAGGCTGTACATAGAATGAATGTAGCTGAATATCAATTTCTAATAGGATTTTACTGAAGTGGATAATAACGTGACGAGACATGTTCCGGAAGAGTTGATGAATGATGATTGGAATACTATGGTTCTTCACTATCTGGGACTTGATCATATCGGACATAAAGCAGGTCCACGAAGGTTGGAATCATTTGTTGAGACATTATACAGGAGACTAATTTCTTCTACAGTCCGAATATGATTCCCAAGCAACTAGAGATGGATGGTATTGTCCGGCTAATCTATGAAAACATGGAAGCGAAAGACTACCTAAGCTCGACTCTCTTAATTTTATGTGGTGATCATGGTATGAATGATGCCGGTAATCATGGTGGTTCTGCTCCGGGAGAAACCTCCCCAGCTCTCGTCTTCATGTCGCCGAGATTTAAGGGGCTTGTGTATGAGCGCCAGCATTTTGAAGTACCTGCTCCATTTGAAGAGGAATTCCAATATTACAAAACGGTCGAACAGTCCGACATTGCTCCTACACTTGGAGCTCTACTTGGATTTCCTGTACCAAGAAATAACTTGGGAGCTTTCATTGATGACTTCCTACCATTTTGGCCTGAAAGTATGTTATCCCAGTATTCAATCGAACTCCATTAACTTCTACCAGGAAATGACCGTGTTCAAATCTTACTGCGAAATGCAAGACAAATCCTCAGCGTAGTTACTGCAACATTTCCATCATTTGAAAACGATGGTCCTTCCGAGAATTGCCACGAACTATCAAGTAGTGTTGATGACTTGGCATGTCAATGGAGAAGGATTACTCAAGTTCTAACTGGTCTCAAGGCTAACGAGCAAGATTATGATGCATGGGTTACGGCCGTCACAAAAGTATGCTATCCTTCACACCCGAGTTCAAAATCTAACAAAATTTTAGTGGTTGAAGGAAGCTCAAGGCTTAATGAGTGGTACCGCTAGCAATTATGATGTTAAGAAATTGGTTGCTGGTCAGATCATTGCAGCTTTGGCTTTTGTCATGGCAGCAGTGGCCGCAGGGCCATTTGTAGCAAATCATTTTAAGTCCTGCATTCCGTCCATAGCTATTTGCTTGACCTACGGCATTATGATGTTTGCTAGTAGTTACGTTGAAGAGGAACAGCATTTCTGGTATTGGACAGCGACAGGATGGCTGTTCCTCTTATCGATCAAGAAGTATGATTATATCTTAAATCTCATGTCAAAACTAACAATCTCCTAGCATCCGTCGTCAAGCTCGCGAACTTCGGTTACTTGCCATTAGCTCCTTATTGATTCTGGTCGCTACCAGGATTGCTAGACGATGGAATCAAACCGGCCAGAAATTTGCCGGTGATCCGGATATTGCACGAACATTCTTCTCTCGGCATCGATTAATTCTCTGGACACTTGTGGGAGGTACCTATCTTTGGAATCTTCAATCACTCGCCAACAGAGGGTTCTCTCGTCTGCCACAAATCGTCGCTAGTGCAGTATCTACACTTTTGGCCACCGCGGCAATCACATTCAAACTTGCCTTTACGAATGAAGATTCACCTGAACTTCTAGCAGGTCTAGCAAAAACTATGGCCGATAGTGATACTGGTATCCCACTCGTTCTTCGGGCAAGGTTGGTATTCATCGGCATTGCAACTTGTCTAGTATATACTATACTATCTAGTTTCGGTCCACCAACCAAACGTGCAAATAGTGAACTATTCCCCAAGCCCCTTCTGAAAGTCTTTCATAACTAACAAAATACCAGTCTCCATGCGCACAATTCACGACCTAATAGTCCTCTTCCTAATCACCCAAACACGAGCAACCAATATTCCACTCATCCTAATCTTCGAACTTCAATTTTCTCTCCTGTCAACCCTCAATCTCTCCCTCATTGAAATAACAACCACCACTCTCCTCCTCCAACAAACCTCCTTCTTCGCCTTCGGAAACTCAAACGCAATTTCCTCCATCGATCTCTCCTCCGCCTACAACGGCGTCGATTCCTACAACGTATTCGCCGTCGGCCTCTTAATTTTCGCCTCTAACTGGGCTGGTCCTCTCTACTTCACTTCAGCTAGTAATCTCCTACTATTAAAATACTGGAAGAAAGATGGAGTAATGAGGAAAAATATATGGGGAAATCATATATCTCTCTTGACGATATTTTTCGCGAGTAGTTTGACGGCGACGATGGTGGCATGTACGATTCTTAGAACGCATCTTTTTATTTGGACGGTTTTTAGTCCGAAGTTTTTGTATACTATGGCTTGGAGTGTGGGTATGCATTTAGGGGGGAATGTGTTGGTTGGTGGTGGGTTGTGGTGGTTGGGGAGGGTGATTGGGTAGGGGAAGTATAGGTTTGGGGAGAGTGAAGATAGAGGGGAGGGGATTAAGAGGGAATTTTGTTCGTTTTGGGACGGGGAGAAAAGAAGGTTGAGGTAGATTGTAAAATAGAATGTGGCAATTAGTTGGCCAAGAATAAGCGGTAATAGATTCATCATTTATTCGTTTTATTTAATGTCGCCGCTGATCTTGAGAGACTCAAAATACTCACTAGCACGCAAAAATAACTCGCTTGTATGATCGCTTGCTTAAGGGGTTCAAATTAACCATTAATTCTTAAAATTACATCAAACTATCAAACAAATCATCAAATGCATCTCCACCCTTCTTTTTCCTCTTCTTCTTTGGCGGTTTAGCCGGCGTCGAATCTAATGAAGATAACTTGGAAGATTTTCGTTCTAATGCTTCACCCTCCTGTTTCCTCTTCTTTACTTTCGACTTCTTAATTTCACTATCCTCTTCCTCTTTCTTTTCCTCCTTCTTAGTACCTTCGACCACTTTTGAAGCTGGAGCATCCCTCACGATCTTCTCACCTAAATCCTCCCCTATTTCTGGCTCATTGACTTTTACCTCCTCATTTACTGTCCCGGTTTTCGCGGCGATTTCTTCTGCTGTTAAGACTCGTAAAGATTCGAGTATCTTATATAGACGTGCCAGACATCCCATTAACATCAATCCTAATGTAGCATATTGGTTATCTGCTACTAGTTGGCTAAACGCCCTATTTTCCACATTTATTAGCAATCTTACTTCACCATCCCGTTCCGCCGTTTCTCCCCTTCCTGCTCCACATAACCCCTCCCCCTCCACAAACCGACAACAAAACGGAAACAAAAACAAGAAACTCACAAATAACACCCTCCCACCACATCCTTCCGCATAAACCCAATCAAGTCCTGTAACTCCCTCTCTTCCCTCTCCTTCCTCTCCTTTGCTTTCCCTTTTACTTTTGACTTTCCACGTGATGATTCAATCACATATTCGGGAATGAGAGCGAGCAGACGGGTGATTTGTCGACGCAGGATGTTGAATGATTTGTACCATTTTGAGAGACGGTGTTGGTTTTTGTTGCGGTGGTGAGTTAGGTGGAGGATTTGGTGGAGGGTGAGGAGGGTTGTGTGGTGGGGGTTTGGGGTGGGTATGTTCATTTCTGAGAGCGGGGTTGGAAGGATTTGAGGGGTCAATTGGATTTTCTCTGGAGATTTGAGGGAGAATTTTATGTTAAAACGAATTGGAGTTATGAGGAAATATCATTTTGGTGCGTGATTCAAATCGGAATTGATGATGATGGAGGAAAATGAAATTCGAGGTGAGGCTTTAACCTTATCTGTCAGCCTTGCAGGAAGGCTGATGCACGGACTACGCGGCGAGAACAAGTGTGCTTCATCCACAGCCTTGAAATACAACAACTTACAAAGTCTAGAACTTCGAATAATGATACGAAGAAGGCATTCAGTTCTATGATTTCCTCAGATACACCAATTCGCAATACATGAATATCCACAAGCTTTAATAACCTCCCAACTCTCACGCCAAAATGGCATCCACAACTCTCTCCACAACAACATGCTTCACTTCCTCAGAAGCATTCAAACATCCTCTCCCTCAAATCCGACAATTCCACCGCGATCTCACCACCGAACTTGATGAGAAAAATGCACGTCTACGTACATTGGTCGGAGGTAGTTATAGACAATTACTTGGAACCGCCGAGCAAATCCTACAAATGCGCAAGGATATCCGTGAAGTGGAGGAAAAGTTGGGGAAAGTAGGGGAAGGATGTGGAAGAAATGTATTGGTTGGGATGGTCTCTGGATTAGGAAAATTACAGGGAGAAATGAAGAATGGGAGAAAAGGGGAAGAGATGAGGGGACTGGCTAGAGTGAAGGGTTTGGGTATGTGTGGGATTGTAGTTGGGAAACTTTTGAGGAGGCAGGGGAGAGGGAAGAGTTTGGTGGTCGCGGCGAAAGTGTTGGTTTTGAGTCGGTTGTTGGCGAAGAGTTTGGAGGGTTGTGTGGATAGTGTAGATAGGGAGTTTGTGGAGGAGGCAAAGAAGAAGAGGGTGGTTTTGACGAAACGACTGTTACGAGCAGTTGAGAAGACATTAGTCTCAACCAAGGATGGTGAAGATAGAGAAGATCTAGTACAGGCGCTTTGCGCATATAGTCTTGCTACGAGCTCTGGTGCGAAAGATGTTCTACGACATTTTCTAAATGTCCGAGGGGAAGCAATGGCATTATCATTCGAAGACGAAGAGGAATCGGATCAAGAGACATCAGGTGTTATGCGGGCCTTGGAGATTTACACGAGAACTCTACTTGATGTACAAGAATTGGTACCGAAGAGACTTAGCGAAGCATTGGCTGCGCTGAAAACGAAACCTTTATTGAAAGATGAAAGTATTCGAGATTTGGAGGGATTAAGATTAGATGTATGTGAGCGGTGGTTTGGTGATGAAATTCTTTACTTTACACCTTATGTTCGACATGATGATTTGGAAGGATCATTAGCTGTTGATACATTAAGAGGTTGGGCGAAGAAAGCATCAGAGGTACTACTGGAAGGATTTACAAAGACTCTTCAGGGAGGCTTGGACTTTAAGGTAGTAGTTGAATTACGAACGAAGATATTGGAGGTATGGATAAGGGATGGAGGTAAAGCAAGAGGATTTGATCCGTCTATACTTCGAGATGGTTTACGTGGCGTTGTTAACAAACGGCTTGTAGAGTTATTGGAAACTCGAGTTGGCAAACTTCATCTAGTGGGAACAGAGATAGAATCCACGTTGGCAACATGGGATAAAGGGATTACTGATCACCATGCTAGTCTATGGGATGAAGATATGATGGCAACGGAACTCAGCAATGGAGGTAATATTTTCAAACAAGATATTATCGCTCGTACCTTTGGACGTAATGATACTGTTTCAAGGGTAGTCAACAGTTTTCAGACTTGGAGGCATCTCATTGAGGAAATAGGTACTGTTATTGATGAATTGAAGAAACAAAGATGGGACGATGATCTAGAAGATATCGAAGATGACGAAAGTCTTGACTCGCGACAAAATCTTCTTAGTAAGGAGGATCCGCAGATGCTACAAGGTCATCTTGATTCAAGTTTAGAAAAGCTTTCCAGGAGTTACATACGAAAATTACAACATTTGTGGAGCAATACAAGGATAGCGAGCATAGCGGAAAGATATCAATGTATATCTTGCGAATTTTACGAGATATCCGAGCAGAGCTACCCTCAAATCCATCACTACAAAAATTCGGTCTTTCACTAGTTCAATCACTACACGAGAGTCTTGCTAGCACCGTTTCCGAAAAATCAATCTCATCTCTAGCAAAATCACTAGAGAAAAAGAAAGTCGCAGGAAGAGCATTATGGGAAGGAACACCAGAACTTCCAGTTCAACCTTCACCTGCTACATTTAAATTTCTTCGTGGTTTATCAACTTCTATGGCTGATGCCGGAGCAGATCTTTGGAGTCCTGTTGCTATTAAGACTTTGAAAGTGCATCTCGATTCCCAAGTTAAGGAGAAATGGAGTAAGGTCTTGCAAGAGAAGACGGCTAGTAATGAAATAACTGCTTCTTCCATTGATACATCTGATGCTCAAAATTCCGCGGAAACAGAAGAGTCAGAAAAAGAAGTTCATTCCAAAGTGGATGGAGAACTAGATGAAGAAAACAAAAGATCTATTGAAACAATATTTATTCGATATTTTGTCTTACAACAAGCTTTAGCGTCACAATCTAAACAATCTGGGGATATGGAAAAGGGGATTACAGGGATGAAACTTAAGGATTTGAGTGAGGAGATAGAAGTGAAAATAAAACTTGAGATGCAAGAGAGGAAACGGGTGGGAAGTGCAGCGAAGGAGTATTGGAAGAGGACGGGCTTTGTTTGGATTTTGGTGTAGGAGATAGGTTTCGAGTGAGTGGAAGTGTCTGTGGTGGAGAAGCGTGAGATTTAATGATATACCAATTCATCCATCGTAATATTGTAAAAGTGGTAGGTCGAGATACGTGCGTCCTGATAGCAAGTTGTGAGGGGATTAGAAGAGAAAGTTGAATTAGATTACATCGTAATACATCACTTATGGAGAAAACGAAGTTCACAATGGTTTTGGGGTTGAAGCTAGATGGGTTCAAATATATAAGTCTAGTACCCCTTTGGGACCACCTTTTACACCAAAATCGTGATTTTCATCTATTAATAACTTTACAACCAATCAATAGAATTTGATGAAATTTGAATCGTATATTCATTATATAATTATAACTCAATTCTGAAAATTTTAGATTTTTTGAAATTGATTTTATTAAGATTTATAACCTTAAATTTTGTGATTTTTGATTTATATAGGATTTATATACAAATTTATAAAATCTTTAAAATCTTAAATAACTTTTCAACAAAAATAATGAAAAATAAATTATAAATTTTTTTCGAATATTTATATTATAAATGATCAAATGAATTGATTTATTTTAAAAATCTTTTACAAAAATCTTTTAATCAAAATATTATAATTTTTAATCTTTACAAAATTTAAAATGTTAACAAAGATTTATTTATATTATTTAAATTTCAAAACATTAATTTATTATATAATATTTGATCTAAAAATCTCAAAACATTTATAGTTTATTTTAGTAATTTTATTGAAAAGTTATTCAAGATTTTCAATATTTTCAAATTTGTTGTCACGAAATCATTTTATAGAATGTTACAGGGTAACAAGTCAACCTGTCCTTATGAGCTTGGACCTCCTTGAAAAGCAAAGCAATTTGTATACAAATTTGTATGGCAACCGCTTTATATAATCTCCCCACCTTCAGCAAGCTCGGACAAATAGTCTGATCCTAATCACATGATAAAGCCTCGAGGAGTCTATGCTCCTGGAGGCTCCCGAAATGGATTAGTATATAATCAGAATAGTTTCATAGTTTAGAAGCTTCATGCTCAATTTAGTTATCAATTAGTTTACCTATATTCCAATTGATCTAGTAATATATTCACCTTCGAGTGGATAACCAGTGATTATTAGTCTTAATCTACAACTACCAATCATACGAGACCTCAGGCAGCCGCCGCCTGACCAGATCGTTACAATAAATCCAATATAAATTGAAAATCGTAATTTCAATTTTCAATTTCTCAATCAATAAAATTGTAAAAAATCTGAAAATTTTCGAATCTATTAATAATTATATAATAAATTTATAATTAAAATCTCAATTGATTTTATTTATTTGTTATTGAATTATTAATAATTGAAAATGATAATTTTTAATATAAAAAGATAATCTATATTAAAGTAGAGGTAGTTTAAAGATAGAGTATTGGATTTATATATAAAAGGTTAGTTATTGTAAAAAGAAGAAACAAAAGCTCTTTTTTTATATTTAATTATAAAAGATTATATAATTGATTAATTAAAAACCTTTATATATCTGGTTTATAACTTTAACTTTCTTATAATATAAAATATAAGAAATATCAATATTCTTTATTTATATTTATAAATAAAAGTATTGTAACGATCTAATCGAGGCAGTGACTGCCTCAGGTTTTATATAATTAATAGTTATAAATTAAGATTAATAATCATTAATTATCCATTCGAAAATAAATATATTACTAAATCAATTGAAATGTAGATAAACTAATTGATAACTAAATTGAATATAAAGCTTTTAAACTATGAAACTATTCTGATTATATATTAATTCATTTTGGGAGCTTCTAGGAGCTTATTGTCACGATTTACAATTAAGATAAGGATATATTGAGGGGCAGCAGTCAACGTGTCCATATGAACTTAGGCCTTATCGAAAGCAAGGCGATTTGTATATAAATTTGTATAGTAATCGTTTTATGTGGTCTCCCCACCTTTAGTAAGCTCAGATATATAGTCTGATCCTAATCATATGATAAGGAGCTTTGGGAGCTTCAGCTCCTAAAGCTTCAGAAGCTTTTGGAGTTTTAGAGCTTTATAAAGCTCCTTTACATTCATTAGTATATAATCAGAATAGTTTTATAGTTTAAGAGCTTCATGCTTAACTTAATTATCAATTAGTTTATCTATATTCCAATTGATCTAGTAATGTATTCACCTTCGAATGGATAACCAATGATTATTAGCCTTAACCTACAACTACCAACCAGATGAATCCTGAGGCAACCGCTGCCTCAACCAGATCGTTATACTTATATTCCTAAAGGCTTTAAGAAGCTTATAAGAGTTT